AAGTAAGAACAAGTAAGGAAGGAGATGGTCCGGGGTAGCGGCCATCCAGGACCACCTCCTTCCTTTATAATGCAACCGTCAACTATTAAATATTCAAAAAAACAAGTAAAGTTCGAGTCACGACTGGAGCCTTTTACTGGTCAGCTCTTAAGACTCAATTCTTAGCCGAGTCGGGAAAGCTTGAGCCTTCTCAGCCAGCTTTTCACAACACTAAATTAGACAGACTTGAAGAGGCTGAGTGTGCCCGAGAAAAATTTCATTTTTTCTTATGGTTCCTTTTAGTTTCCTACAATTAGACGAACTTGAAGCATTATAATCACTGCTGTTGGAGATACTTTTATTTCTATATAGACTGAGTGTAGCCAAAAAGAAATTTCATTTTTTTTAATGCCCTATTTCGTAGTTTACTATTAGACGGACTAAACGGCAAAATGGCAGTAAACATAATGTCTCAAGTCCGTCTATTTGCAGGGAATAAAACAGAACATAAGAAAAAATGAAATTTCTGTTGGGCACACTCAGCCTCTATAAAGACGAAAGTGTTACAAACAGGAGTAAATATATTGCCTCAAGTCTGCCTAATTGTAAAAAACGAAAAGAGGCATAAGAAAAATGAAATTACTGTCACACACAATCACCCTCTACAAAGAATAAAGTTTCTCAAACAGTAGAAAATATATTGAGTAAATCAAGTATATCAAGTTGGTCGGGCACACTCAGCCCATGTGAGCTGGATACCTGTAAATATTGGGCGAAATATGCACCCTATAGCCTTTGTCACTGGTGGATTCAAGGTTGACCTGGTGGGATTATATTATATATTTGTTATATTGGTGGATTTTTTATTTTATTGCAGTAGAAAGTTATTTCATAAATAATTATATCATGATTTTTTGTAATAATTTATTTATGAAATTAGAAAATCTGAAATAACTCATTTCAAAATAAATTACTTCATTTCACTGAATGTTAAAATATTGAAATAATTATTTCAGAAATAAATTTAGTTGTTATTTCACCGAGATTATTCCATTGACCATTTGAAATATTATTTCAGAAATAAATTATTTTAAAAGTGCCCAGATCTACTTTTTTTCAATGAATATTAAAGTATTGAAATAATCATTTCAGAAGTAAATTTAGTAGTTACTTCATCGAGATTATTTCATTTTCAACTTGAAATATTATTTCAGAAATAACCATTATTTTGAAAATAATGAAATAATTGTATAATTTATTTCAGGAATAAATTATTTCAAGGATGCCCAGGTCTACTTAATATAATATGGACTCCGACAATATTATGTACATATACATATGAGGTTTTCCTATATGTTTTTGTTGATATTATTTAATATTTAATGGTATAGATTACAGAAATATAAATATTAAAATTTGTATTTAGAAAGGTACTTAAACAAATAAAAATATGCAGAATGAAATATAAATCAATATAGATGTACAGATGGTTGACCGTGATATAATATGAGAAGGAGTTGATCGGGGGGAGGGGGGTGCGGTCAAATAAATACTAAATTATACAAATAGTATTATTTAATTTTTTTTTGCCGACATTTCGACCCACTTTGCAGGTCTTCATCAGGGCTACAAAAGATACAAAACATGGTGAAAATAAAATAAATGAATATAAGTAGATATAAAATTCTTATTTTAGTAGATATAAAATTCTTATTTTAGTAGATATAAAATTCTTATTTTAGTAGATATAAAATTCTTATTTTATATCTACTTACATTCATTTATTTTATTTTCACCATGTTTTGTATCTTTTGTAGCACTGATGAAGACCTGCAAAGTGGGTTGAAACGTCGGCAAAAAAAAATTAAATAATACTATTTGTATAACTTAGTATTCATTTGACCGCATAGCGTTTATAATTTTTACTTTCACTTCCCCTTTGTCTGAAAATACTTATTTGTGCTAAGAGGGTGGTAAGTGAAAATTGTGTGATGCCCGCACCATGCCAGATCTAAACTTATTTCATAATAAACCCACAACTTAATTAATATGGACTTAAAGCTTATTAAACAAGAAAGTTTTTCTAAAAGTTAGGTGTCTATATATAGTGAATAAACATGTTTACATAGTCATTTTGAGAAGAAAATGCAGAAAATCTGGGAATAAAAAACAAATTTAGTTTTTATCAGAAGAATGACCCCAAACACTCTGCCATGTTAGTTAAGCAATGGCTACTTTATAACTGCCCCAAAGTTAAAAAAAATCCACCACAATCACCAGATCTTAATGTGTTAACCACAATAACTAGATCTTAACAATCACCAGTACACCTGGGGGCAAAATTGGAGGTAAAAATTATAAAAGACTTAAAACATATCTTCTCGAAGATTCACAGACTAAGCCCAGAATTCAACAAAAATTGGTAGACTCCATTACATACTGAAAGGAGTGGTAGAAAATAAAGTCTACAAGTTATTGAACTGAACTAACAATACTGAAAGTTAATAAGAAGTGAGGTGTATTATTTTGACTGAGGGATAAATGTTCTCTTTTTTTTGTTGATTTTTTAAAAGTTGAATAAATTAATTTTATTAAGTTTTTATATATTTAAATTCAGATTATAAATGATGTTGAAGAATTTCTGGTTTTATTTGTTTACTGTAACCATTTAAGTTTGTTAAATATTTTTCTACAGGGTTTATCAATTTCACTGTGAACCACTGCAGACCAGATCAATTTTAAAAATTTAACCATTATAAAAAACAATAATAAAAACTTTACTTCTTAATCAAGTTGAAATTTCCAACATTATACATTCCAAAACTTTTTTTGTTAAAATTTAAACAATTCTAAAGAAACTTGAGAATTTTCAAGTGTTCAAATATTATTGTTATAGCTGTTTTTCTATATCACTAATAAATATATTTTTGGGGACTATGCTCTAACTAAAAAAACAAAAACACATTAGATTCTTTGATAGGAATATTTTGTTTTTACCTGTTCTACAATGAGTGTCTATCAGTGATTTCCTATTGATTATTGTTTTATTATAGTGCACAAGAAGCACAGAAGACCACTATCTTATCAAATTTCAACTAGGGGTATTATGATATCCAAATTTTAATTATTGGCCAGAGACTGGATCTTACTTTTGGCATTATTATTTTTTTTTATTAATAATGAAATTACTACAGATCAATTCAAAGCCAGAAGGAAAGAGTGAGAATTCAAGTAAAGGCTATAACAATAAATGTCTTTCTTAAAAAACAGCTAATTCTAGGTAGACAGTTTTTTACTATCCAATACTTTAGACAAGTTCTAATCCAAGAATATTTCACAATAACATGGAAATTTGATCTCTAATTATCTATTTGTGAAGTATCAATTGGGCTCACTTTATTTACATATTATAAACTTTTTTAATCTTCCCTTTTTGATTCTCAATTCTTATATAGTTCTTAATTTAATCCTTAGTTATTAATTTGTATCTACAGTTCTTAATCTTACGGCTATACTTAATTCTGATGTGGCCTAAACTTAATTTCATTACCTCTTATTTATCCATTTATTATTTATTCTCTGATAGCCTACTGATATATATATTTTAAATTCTTATCTTATTTATTACTTTAATATTTTCTGTTAAATATCCATTAGATGACACTTACCACACCCCCGCCCTTTCTATTTCCTCACCCAAAATCTAAAATGCATCACTTGCTTAGTTCTGTAGGCATGATTAGCCAGTAACTGATGATTATAGATAAACTACTATTTACATTAGTTACTTTTGATTCCCTCTGTTATTGTTAACATTTCCTATCCTAAAGTATTCCAATTATTTTTTATAATTTGAAAAATTCACCTCAATTATTTTTAGCCATGTTGTTTTATACATATTTCTGATCCATTTAATCTTACTAATCATTTAGTTGATTTATTGTACTATTGATATACTTATTTATTTTTATATGATTTTTTTCTTTGTGTACTATCATGTTTATATTACCATTATCTTTCTATCTCTTAATCTTGCTATATATACATCTATATCTTATTTGCCTGATGTATTTTGTAAAATTGTTAGCCCTAATGATCTCCAAAGCATGGTTACCTACATGCTTTGGTAAAAACCCCTGATAAACCAGGGGTTTCCAAGATTTTTGGCCACATTGAGACCTCCATTAAGTCCTGAGGAAATGGTGTAGTGTATGATACAAAAAATAGCTTGCTCTATAAATGACTTCAGTTGTCACACGAGCTTTCTAAGAGAAAAAAAGTATGCAATAAATGTTGTGGTAACTTTGTGTTTGCGTGATTTACTAAATTTCATTCTTTTTGAATAATTGAGACCCCTGTAATAAACCATTTGTAGACAACAAATTCTGATTGTTTGTCATCTTCATAGTTTTAAAATAACAGTAAATTATATAGAGTATAATATAAATAATTTTTTTTACTGTATTGACATCTAAAGATCTTTAATTAATGTCATCTTATATTTGTCAAATAATAAAAAGGTGAAACATATTGTATTTTAATATATGTAAAATGATCGTGACTAAGCAGATGGAAAATAATTAAACTTCTAAAAAAATTTAAATTAAACATGAAAATTGGAAATAGAAAAAAAAAAGAGAAAGTTTCAGATGAATATTTATAATAATTGTGGATTGATGGTTGACTGCAGTGAATAATGAAGAGAAGGATAGTTGGGGTGATCAGTCAAAAATAAAAATGGCAAATATAAATAATATTATTTATTTTAACATTTGCCGATGTTTCGACCCGAAGTTCAGGCCTTCATCAGGGCTCAGAATAATGTTTACAATACTACTATAAGAGTATACAGAATAGAATAAATAAATCAAAGTTTTTGATAATAAACTTTCAAGATTTCAGTTCAATTATTTAGAAAAATATCACATTCTATTGAATTAGAAATGGTAATTGAGGTATTCTCAACAGATTTATGTTATCTAGTTATTTTACTTTTAATATTTTTTGTAAGTTATATAATAATTAGATACAGTTATTAAATACATTATAAAATAAAACATAATCTTTATTTTAAATATTATTTACATTATTTACAATTCAAATTTACAGACCGAATAAAATTAAATCCTTTTGTTTTAATGATTTAATTTTAATATCAACAAATAAAAATTTTCAAATTATTTCACAACAGGTTTGGAAGGCCTTTATAAGTTAAAAAAAGTGAAATGAGTGAAGATAATAAGAAGCAGCAATTTGAGTTTACATTACATACATACAAAAAATAAAAAAACATTGTGATGACTGTATCCTAAGATCAGCAATTTTTATATCACTTAGACAATGATTTGCCTATTACATCAACAGTGGGACTGTCTTCAAGATGCTGAACCAACTATTTATCCCAAAGACCAAGTTCCCTCATTTTAGCTTGAAAGTACCTAAATAGAATGAAAAGTTAATATAAAGCACATAATTATTTATGACCACGAGAGCTAGTTGCTGTGTCAGAAGTTAGGTTTAGTTCTTGCCTCAACCTAGTATATAGCTCATCAACTGGCATCAAAACAACTTGAATGATTCTGATAAGAAAAGAAAATCAATAAATCACCAATACACTTTTCAGTATGAGAAAAATAATGCAATATTGCAAGCCAGGTTAGGTTAAATTTAACACTGTAGTAACTTCTGAATCAGCAACCTTCCATAAATGCATGCATTTAAACAATAATTATACGAAACATAAATATATTTCTACATATTTACCTATCCAGGGACTTTGCACACATGAAATATTCTGTTTCTGGTGAATTGTAAACTCGGCAATTATTAAAAATTCTCTGCATATCAGCGATAAACAAGCGTCTTGATGTATAATATCCAGCTTTAAGTCGCTCTCCAACAGTTCGTAAATCTAAGCATAAAAAATATTCAAAACAAATTAGAAGAAATAATTTTGAAATAGTAAATAAAAGTAAGCTGTCTTCCTATAACATATTAAATGATAAATAGTTACAGAAATTTAATAGACAGAGTGTTCTGTAAGTAGAGAGAAATATTAAACAGGTTGATATTAGACACAAAGATCTACAAAAAAGTTCATATAAACACTTGCCCAATTTCCAGCTGAAAAGTAGTAAATTTAAGATTTGTGTTTTTTTAAACGAGTCACGTTTTTTGTTGAATAGGAAGCAATAGCTAAAAATTATTTGATTTAATTAATTAAACAATATTTATATGAACTTTTTTGTAGCTCTTGAGGTCTGCTATCACTTCTACAAAAATTTCCCACTACTTACGGGACATCGTTTATAAATGTATTTTTTCTTCTTGTTTGAGGCAGGGAGATGGATTCTCACCAATGCTATATGACTCAGCGCAGGAGAAATCAATAAAAAAAGCAGGATCTACGTGGACTCTAAATCATTAAATCATTCCTCAATGATTGAATCAAGTAAATAGATTCAAATACTTCTGCTCCACAATAACCTCAACAAATGACCTTTCTTCATTCTCGGAATCTATCTCTGTTAAGAATTGGACCAGCAAATAACAACCGCAAAGAGAGCTTTCATCTTGCTTTCAAGGGTACTGAAACCCTGAAAAATCTTCAGAAATCTCTAACTGATCGGGTACAATGCCGTGATAAAGCCAGTTCTGCTGTACTGCAGAAAAGAGGACTGAACGTACGGAGCCAGGTCACTTTGAATAGAGAGGTAACAGAGGACCTGCCTACAGAGGCGGAAGACGATCGACTTACTTACACTGTCCTTATCTCACAAGAACGACACAACATGACTTATGCACAGGCAACATGTACTAACACTACATATCACAACACACAACAATTCTCAACTGCTCAAACGATGAGTGTAACTCTTCATTATGCAATCTTTCACACAAAGATATGTAGCATATCGTGCTGACCATTTCAGCAGTACTGTTCATGGTGGCTCAGCAATAGTCGTAAAACGAACATTATACCACTATCCTCTTCAAATGACTGTCTTACCAGAAATTCAATTATCATCTATCTTGGTTAAAATCAATCACACCATTGTCTATTGCCAGTGCATACTGTCCTCCGAAACAATAAGTTTCACAGGAAACATTTACGGACATACTTGACAGCTAAGGATCTAAATTTTTGTGTAGAGATTTTAACGCCAAACATCCCCGTTTCGGCAATAGGACCCATAATTCTAGAGAAAATCCTCTTTTTAATACAAGTTTATATCTTGACTGCATACTACCACCTGAACCGACAGACATGAACCGTCAACCAGAATTACTTGATTTCTTTTTAACTTCTACCCTATGCACATTACACCATCATATCTCTATTAGTAACGACCTATCATCAGACCATTCAGTGGTTATTTTATCTTTCTCCAGATACATGTTTCCTACCAACCAAACATCTACACTAACTCTTGGAGCAATATTAATTGATAAATTTCACTCCATTACTAATAATACAATTGACCTAAACACAAGATTAAAGACGGAAAATGATATTGACAATGCAGTAGAGATGCTAACTAAGACTGTACAAACTGCAGCTTGGCAATCAGCAAACAAGCACGAGACAAACATTATTTACTCCTGGAAATATGATCACTTCTAATTAAAAAATGACGTGCTCTCAACCAATGGAAAAGATCTCGCTATCCCAGTGACAAACAACTACTAAACACACTTTCTAACAAACTTAGAAAGCTTATACAGCAATACAAACAGGAAAATTATAAAAAACATCTGATCACCTTACAGACAAGTAACAATACTCTCTGGCAACAAACACGAAAGGTACTAGCATACCACCAAACAAAGACTCCTCTCCCTAAACCTGACAACTCATGGGCTAGAAGCGATAAAGAGAAAGCAGACTTATTTGCTACTCATCTTACAGACGTCCAACAACTTCTCTTTCTCTTTCTCTATCATCCCTCTCTAAAACTCCTTCAGATATAAAATTTTTTATTAAAAAATTAACGCCTAATCACATCTAAAATTGTACGACTTCTACCTAAAAAACCTGACAGCTATTTACAATTCTATTCTTTGACTTACTTACTTCCCTCTAGTATGGAAGTTTTCAATCATAAAAATCCATAACCAATACCATAACCAAGCAAATCTTCAGACCAAGTCACGTCTTATAGGCCTATCAGTCTCTTACCATTATTTTCCAAAATATTTGAAAAATTGTTATTAAAACGGGTCTATCTATTCTTAGAAGAAAACAATGTGATTCCTAATCACCAATTTGGCTTTAGACCTGCACACTCTACCATACAACAATGTCGTAGAGTGAGTGATACAATTGCCATGGCATTGGAAAAGAAGGAATCTTGCATCACAACTTTCTTGGATGTCTCAAAGGCTTTTGATAAAGCGTGGCATGATCGTCTTCTTTGTAAAATTAAATCGATCTTTCCGCATACTTACTATTTAATCATTAGATATTATCTTGAGGATAAATTTTTCGTTGTTAACCAGGATGGTAAACACTCTGAATATTAACGAATCCATGCAGGAGTACCGCAGGGCAGTATTTTAGGTCGTTCTGTACTCTATTTACTCTTCTGACATTCCATAGATGTCAGAAATATTACTTGCAACTTACTCAGACGACACTGCCATACTCTGACTCTAATCCGATCACAGCATCCCAAAAGTAAAAATTCATTTAAATCTTCTGCAAGACTGGCTTGATAAATGGTGCACAAAAATTAACATAAAAAAATCAAATCAGGTTACATTTATACTTAGACGATCGGATTACCCTCCACTGACACCTTACAACTTCCCTTTGCCAAATGATACGGAGACAAAATATTTGGGACTCACAATGGATAGATGACTGACCTGGAAATCAAATGTGACTATATTAAAAAAGAGATTGAACCATCAATTGTTACTACTATGACATTTATGATGATACACCATAAAAACAAACTATCACTTTCTAACAAAATTACTATATACAACATGCTACTCAGACCAGTATGGATCTATGCTTCTCAGGTGTGGAGTTCATGCAAAAAAACAAAAACACACAGACTATTAAAATCTTCCAATCTAAATTTTTCTGGTAAATCACTCATCTTCCCCTCTATATAACCAATAAATCAATTCACAAAGACCTACAAATACCACATGTGACTGACGTAATTAAGAAATATTACAAAAATTTTCATGACTCCTTAGCTGGACATCTTAATCCACTTGTACAAACATTACTAACAGACACACTACCACATAACCCAACAAGGAGAATCAAACGCCTCTGGAGCAGGGATCTGCTACATTAAGAAGAGTCACATTAGGAGTGCCTTCTCTAGAGGTTTCTGTAATCATGAATTCATGCTCCAATCCAGGAGAGGAGGTTCATTAACGAACATAACATTTACAAAATATACCAAAAGGCATTTGTAAAATTGCTCAATAAATAAATTTATTATTACTATAATATGATGAATAAGTATACTCACCCATTGGATATTTTATGTGATCATAGTAATCTGGTGCCACTATTTTATCCACAGGTTTTTGAAACGGCCAAGCCATTTCATGATTCTTCACCTAAACAAAATTTAAACAATCTGGCTTAAAAAATAGCATTACTTAACCAGAACAAATCCTGTGGCTAACGAATAATTGTATTTTTAATGAATCATGACACACACACACACGCGCACGCACATACAAACTATAATGAAAGAACTAAAAAAATGAATCGATCCCTCATAAATTAAATATTACTTACTGTGTTTAAAACATTAAAAAGAGCCTTCTGCAGAGTTTCTGGATCAGTAGGTTCCTCGATTAACTTGGAAACTCTAGTTGTTCGTACAACAGGCCGCCAACCTAAAGATGATAATCACAATTGTAATAAAAGAATGTGAAATTCCAACATACCAATGCTATAAACATACCTGTTTCTCTTATTCCAGGTATTTCTTCGATATGGATATACCTCACATCTTTAAAACATGTCAAACCAGGATGAATTTTTTCTACTTTGTCTTTTTTCTCTTCAATTAGTCTTTTTAAAATCTGGAAATATTTTAAATAGCATACATAAGCAACAAATAGATTAAATTAATGGATATATTTTATACAAACAATACATACAATTATCTTATTTATATAAAAAAGTGAAATACTTATATAATAAAAAGGGACTAAGATGTCTAATATTAAAGATATGATAATATTTCTACAGCATACAAGAACCAACATTAATTAAAAGAATAAAATAACATAACTCTACTATCATAATTACATTCTTTAAAGAAAAAATCAATAGGAATGAACACACATATGAATAGTGAGGTCCGTAAATGCAACAAGTTGTAGTAGACATCTCCCTGTATTTACTCCTTTAGTTGACATTGTGTGAGGGAATGAGAAGGAATATATAATATATAGGAATATGAGGTTGCACTGTGAATTGTACTCAATTGTGCAGTGGACAAATTGCTCATTGGAAAATCTCATATCGATAAACAATCGATAAAGAAGGAACAAGATCCGATCAGGTAGCAGCAGCTGGAAGACGATGCCAAGCACTTGAGGCTGAAGATTGAGGCAGAACACATACCTGGGAAGAGAGGCTACTACAAGATTTAGATCAAGTCTGTAGTTATAACACTTTAATAGAGTCAATTTATTACAGTTGTAGAAATAAATCATTTTGTTAGACAGGAGTGAATAGTCCTTTTATTTAGTTGTCCTATATGCCTCACGATTGAAGAATAACAAACCAGGTGAGTAAATTCATTCAAAGTGTATTTACTAAGTCCCACATTTCAGATATATATATATTCTTATTGTTTCTTCTCACTCAGTGTCACAAAAGGTATTAGATTCCCGAATTCCCAACAACAGTTAAACACCCTCAAAAAGTCTATATCCAGTGCCGAGGTTTTGTTTTAATAATTCACGAGTGTAAATAACCTAAATCCCCGATATGAAAGCGGAAGGCTATTCGCCTATTCCCGCCAAAACTAATTATTTACATTTAACTCTATTAGGTTATTTAGAAATTGATAAATAATATTTTTAAAAATAATATCATAAACTACCTAGAATGAAGTTTTTTATTCTGATTGATCTACTTCTTTAGCACCAAGCGTTAAATCAAGAGATTTTATTATATTTTAGCCATTAAATTATATTTCAGGAATATGATGCATGTCATGTATAGTTTCAGTTGTTTTTATTATAATAATTCATAGCAAAAGTTCAATAGTTTTAATCTCTTAAGTTATGGCCCAATATTGCCATCCTTGGTTTTTCTCCTCTGCTGAGGAGAATGTAAGCTCCAAGAAGTGCAAACGAGCTCAAATTATTTAAGAAAACCCAATAAATTAAAAAATAGGTTCATACAAAAGTATTAGAGTGATTAGTTTTGCGTAAAATAATAAATGTCAAATCAGCAGTATCTGTACAGCCTTTTGTCAAAATACCAACATTTTGAGTGAATAATGCTTTTTTGAATAACAAAAGGTTTGTTTATGGTTTCATAAGTACTAGACTCAACATTACCAATCTGTCATACACAGTGGCCAGACAACAAATGTGAAGACACATTTCTCCACTTTTTTAGTAGTTTTGTCCCTTTACAAGATAAGGAGATGGTTCAGTATGCCAAAGAAGCTCTACTCAAGAATAAGAAATATAGCCGATTGCCAGAGCGATATGGTTTGAGAAACTTAAGTTGCACATTGGGAATATCTTCACTTTAAGGAAGGTTATAGATAAGTCCATCGACAAAGGGAAATAACACTATCTGCTTAGTGCCTCACACTTGGGATTGTGCAAATATCTACTTACCCTTCAGAAAAGCTCTTTCTATGTTTTGCTTTCTGATTACTTCAAAGATCTTTTCCAAATTCACTAAACAGAAATAGAGCTACTTCCCTTTCTTGATGGATCTCACTATAACCTGCTTTACAGTAAAGATAGTCTCAATGTGCAACTTACATAGCAATAGAAAAATAAACGGTCTTCACCATAATAAACCTCCATCGTCACCTTAATATCATCCAAACTGCCCCAGCATTTCACCCCCTTTTAGCAGCTCCTTGAAATATACTGATCATCTGTCTACAATACATTTGTTAACCCATATAATGGATACTGATCCTTCTTTTCTTTTCCGAGATTTTGCCAATTCCTTCCTCGTTCACTGAATGTATTTTTCCAATTTTGAGTTCAATTTCGTGTTTTTCCTCATTTTGATACCAAATGCTAACAATTAGTTCTGGTTACCAAGAAGAACATACAGCTTCGCCCTTTCCATCACTCTTTGTGCAGACAGAATGAAGTATTTAATATTAAAATTTCCTATTTTTTTATGATATAGCACATCCTCCAAACAAAATAAATGAAATAAAAAACTGAATTTTTTTATAAGTGATATAAGAGTTTTGTTAAACAAACCGGCAACTATTCATTATATGTAATTCAGATTAATTATATTTTATTTTATAAAACAGGTATTAATATGACTCATTTCCGGGAAAGTATACAATTTAACTTACGTATAAGAATCAGTAAATACAGAAAACAAAGTGTTAAATTGCAAACGTTAAATAAAAAATTCAAGATATTCAGTGAAGTATTTTTTAATTAAGTTTTATTATTGTAATTATATAATTTTTACAATAGAAGCATTCTTTAATGACCTCCATATAAAATAGAGGAAGTAATATTAAAAAAAAAAAAAAAATTGTTTAATTTTATGGACAATTAAATTATTGCATTAATATAATCAATACATTGTACCAAAAATGTTATTATAGCACTATAACTATGCCATATATGAATACTGAATGATGTGGTAGAGGTCTGTAGGCACCTACGCCTATACCACTTTCCGCCAATTAAGAACATTTTCCACAAAACCACTTCAAATATTTAAGTTATGAGTGTTTTAGAAAGAGAAATTTATTCTACAGAAATTTTATTTTAGGACGTTTTCCGTTATTGTAGGCCGGTTAATTACAAATGACGCTTGATTTTCAACTTGAAATTTTTTTTGTAGAAAAAGTTACTTTACTGGTGTTTTTTATTGGCTAAACCAATTATTTTTTAATATTGTTTCATGTTTTATTATTCTCTGACTATTCAGCTATAATAAAAGGTCAATTATGACAAAATTAAACCAAATGTTGATTCTCAGTGACAAACTAACTCAAGTCAAAGTCATCAGTCCGCCATTTTGGAGCAGTGTGTACACTTTTTTTTGTGGGAACATTGGCTTCTTTTTTAAATAAATAGCTACAGGGAACATAACAATATGCAATTTATAGGGATGTGGAGAGAAGGGGGAGAGGGTCTGGGCCATAGATTATCACCTCTCTGTGTTGCACAAGGTCCAAGGGCACCTCATACTAACTAGTCTGCGACTAACACTAGACAGGGCCATCCATCCATGTCAATATGGACCCACTAAGATAAGGGGGGTAAAGGTAAGGGACTATTGCAACAAGTGCATCACGTCATTAAGGAGATGGTGAAAAAGTCATGATACTTTTGTTTAATATATCTTTCATCTTTGATTATGTAAGTTGGTTGAATGTACTACAGCAGCTACAACAATTCCACTTCCACTAGGGCACTTTCTGCCAATTTTATGCCCCAATGAGAAGATATCTCGAGGATCAAAGAGTGATGACACAAAGTAACTTCTACAAAGTCCAAGAAAGTGTGAAAAGGGGATGTCCGCAGGGCTCTGCCCTTTGGAAGTTAGTCTTTGATGAGGTGTTCGAAGTGGAGATTTCATTAAGTACCGGGCCATGGATTGTCATAGTTGCGAAATTAGAAAGAAATATTCGTGGGCCGGACTGGAGTTGCTAAATAAGTAAATAATCTACAAAGGGAGATATTAAAACTAAAATTACAAAACTAATAAGATAAATGATTAAGAAAATAATATTAAAATCCTTTACGTACTAATAATGTTGTATGACATGCTAAGATGGGAATAGTTGGTCAATTTAATGGTTTATAATTGTATACCTCTTTCTGCTTTCTTATTACTGATGAAAGTTCTGTATAAACTATTCTTGGATTCAGCTGGCAATGCATTAAAGTTGCTCTATCATAATCTTTAATGAAACCTTTATACAATGAACTGTCCATTTTAATATCTTTATTGAATCCTTGTTTCTTAAAATAACCTAATGCAGAGAAAGGAAAAATCATTTTCAAACATTCATTTAATATTTCATTAATTACTGCCAAATAAATAATAAAAAGCAACAGATAGACAATGATATGATTAATAATAGGCATATAAATATCAAAACTAAAAATCTGGTGCGCATGCAACTCACAACTTTCACTTGCCGCTCTACTTTGAATAGAAATTATTTTCTGGCTTGTTGGGCTATTATAAAATTTTTGAGTGCATTTTAAACAGAGGTAAAGCTTGAAGCTTACAGATAACAAATCATTAAGATCATTAAAATAAAAAAAATAGTCAATTTATTATATGAACTGTAGGTAATAAAAATCTAGTTTTATAAACCACATAACTTCAGTCTCTAAGCCTTTCAGCTGACAGAATAACTAACCCCAATTTCAAAATTTTTGAGTAGTGTCACTTTAGTGATATTTCTAGTTGGAAAAGTTATATCTACACAGACAGTTGATTCCAGAATAGGTGATTGCAATTTTGAAATCTAGAACTGTGAATAAAGGTATAAATTTTACCACTAGAAACATCACTAAAATTAATAATAAAGAATGTTAAAATTGGAGTTAGTCATTCTGTCAAGCTAAAGGCTCATAAATGCCTAGAGAGATTTGAAAGTACATCCGAATATTTAATCTATAAATTATTATGGATTGTAGGACTATTAGTTATTAAACTTTTATTTTCCATTGTAATGTTTACTAAAATGAAATTACGAGATTTTCATTGCCTGCCATGGATAGGTCAAAAGTTGTCACACTAATTGAAAGTGGATAATGTTGGGATTTCACAAAGGGAAAATTCATCAAATTATTCACTAATTTAATTTACTAAAAGGTTACTTGATGATTTTTTGAGATAAACGGCCAATAGATACCTAATTATTGAAATATAATATCATATCTAGAGTTATCAAACTACAGCAAATGTATTTAAGGTTATAAACATATCCATGAAATATTTTTATATTTCACTTCTTCTTTCACACAAGTACAATTAAATAGTATTTTAAACAATGGCATTGGCATGATTCGGTGGATTTTAAATACTTTTTTTTGAAACTTAGCAACACTTTAAAAATTTATATTTAGTAAGAAAATTTCATTGGAAACATGTGATTTACGTTAAATAATGTTAGTTTTCTGAAATTATTATTTTTATTTATATTTTTTTCGTTACTCTCCGTTATCTTCTACAACTTTGTTTATTTTATATTGTTTTTTTCTAAAATTCTCCGCTTTTCAACAATATATTATAAATATACCTTCTGACTGTTGTTTCCGGAGATTCATTTTCAAACTGGATAAGCATTTATCTTTTTCAATTTTTTAAAGTTAATGTCAATAAAAGAGAGTTATTTTTTAAAAATAACCCATATTAAAGATACTTTAGAGGAAGATGTATAGGAACATTGGGCATTTAAGCCCTAGAAATTGACTTCAAAGTGAATAAGACCTAAATGAAATTAAAGACCGCTTAATTACACAATGATATACCAAGCTTAATCAAAATCGTTAGAGCTATTTTTGAGAAAATTGTAAAAATGTGTTTCACCATTGATATAAAGTGGCACTTCCGGTTAGTCGATTTTAAGGAAAAAGTTGCTGTCACAACTAAGGCATATACCTATCTTAAATACATAATATCAGTTTCATACAACTTTTTGTTTTCGAGCTAGACTGTTCACATACATACACAAACACAGAACATTTGGCCAGACTTGGTTATTTGGACTCAGGAGACCTCAAAATATGTATTTCTGTTGAAAACTCAGATTCGAAAATTTTCAGTATTGCAATACTTACCCTTACTATATATTTCACATATAGTAAAAATTGATACTTCATATCATAAAATAATTAATTAATATGAACAACTTAAGAAGAAGAATCAAAACAAATCAGCTATTTATTAACAAACAATAATGATAGACCAGGAAGAAAATAATTAAGTATTGATATAAAATATATATATCCTGCATATGACTTTAGTATTTTATGATTCAGTTTATAGCCCTGTAAGGGGTACTAAAGAGAATTCAGAAATTCATGAAACTTTAATTTAGATGGTAAAACTTCAGGTGAAGAAAAATCTTCAAGCCATTTGTAAGCAAGAACTGAAAAATTAGAGATAACAAACAAGAGTTTTATCAAATAGTTCTTGAAATAATTACCAAGCAGGCATTAAAAGAAGAAATTTTAATCAGATTAGAAGCAAAGATTAGAATCTTAGTGATCCTCAAATTGTAAGAGCCAAGATAAAGATAAAATAGATGAGATTATTGAGCAAAACTTGGACACAGTTATGGAAAATTAATTGCTTGATAAGTTTCATGATCAATAACATGTTTAAATGGTTGATATAATGTTCTAATGGAGGTATCTTGGCATCAAAAACATACAAACACATCCAATCTAAACAACATGATATGCATAAAAGAGTAAGGGTACAAGAAAAGGGCTAGGTGTTGCAAAGAACTCTTATTAATAGATTCCTTCATTGCTATGCTAATGTTGAAAAGCCAGTAAAAGCTTTCTATTATAAAGCTATACTATGGTGTTGATCGATTATACAAAGATTTTCGTTTCTATATCACACAGTTAGTTGCTCAAAGTAGTAGATATTTACAAGGTTCAACCCAAAAAATAAGCAGACCTATTTCAAATTTAATGCCTGGCTGGACTACTAAGCTGAAAATTTGAGCGATCTGTACCAACAACCATAGATGGGCATAATCACAATCAACAATTACAGTAATTATGATTATGTGACCATGATTAAAATCATAATTAGGTTTCCAATTACAATTATAATCAGGTAATCATGTCAAATATTTGCTATATTTATAGTGTTAATGAATTAAGTATAAAATTAAGTTTTATTTTCAGTTGAGATCATGTAATCATTGCTTCCGATTTTGTCCATATATACTAACAATCAAATTACGGTTCTCATAGATGGACACTAAGGAGATTGTTTTAGCCACTACGATTTTGTATGGCATTGTTTCCATTAAGCCAGATACTTTGAACGATTCCTTTACAAACTCATCATCAAAGACAAAGCAACCATATTCTGTAACAGTTGGTATGTAGATAACCTCAATCTATATGCAAAAAAAATAAAAATTACAAAAGATAGTTAGAGCTACATCATCCTTTACTAGTGACAGTCATTCCATCTTAATAAATACATGGTGCTTCATCATTCGAAGCCTATCAATTATATAACTACTAGAGCATTCAACAGTACTTAATAATTCCCCAAAAAGACATGGAACAAGAATTTTTAGGTCTGGAAAGAGAGTACTGAAATCTCAACTATCTGGGAAGCAAAAAGTCAAGGCCATTAACAACTGGATCATATTATTTTAGCTCCATGAATTATAGCTTTGGCATATTACAGTGGTCATATGACAATGTACGGATAATCTTGTACAAACAATAGTCACACAAGAACCGGCCCACAATCAATATCATCCAAAGTCTGCAGGTATATATGAAGAAAAGGAGGATGTAGACTACCAAGTATAAAAGAAGCATTTAATGAGCAGGAATTGGGTCTATGTTGAAATTTCTCTAAAAAAACCTAGAAAATTGGGAGTCCTTTGATCCTTGGGGCCCAGGGAAAGCATCCTCCTTTGTTCCTATGTTCCAATTTACTGTAAAATCGAAAAGTTAAAGAGCTTTAAGAAGAAAGTTTCTTCTAAATCAATGAAGCGGTGTTGGCAAAAGAGACTAAAGAAAAATACATTTGTTGGGAATAGTGCAGGTACTATGGATCACCCTAAATTGTTACATAGGCACCTAATACCAAGATTTGAAAAAAAAAGAAGAGATAATCAATACACAGACAAACAGAACAAAGGACAAAATGCGGTTTTTGGACTCAAGGGATTCTGAACTAAGAAAATCTGACTAAAACTGCAGATTACAATACTTTCCTTGCACAATTTAATTATTAATGCATGGGAGAGCGAATTTGGGGATGGTGTGAGAAAACTCAAAAGTAAAGGTTATTGATGTGATTCTCAATAACAATAATATAAACTCAACTGTAGGAAAAAAACTCTGAAAATATCAGTAATTGGCGGTGAAACAAAAGAATTGTATAGTGCTCTAAGACAAGTTTGCATGTAAGGGAAGGGAGTTAACGCTTTCTCCCACTCACGTTCGACCTCCCCAAGACCTCTCTCCTGCTCTATTTTCCCTCTTCACCACATAATACCAGGAAATCATTATTTTCTTCCAATTTCACACAAATGTTAATTAAAGGTAGGGGTTTTAATTTAAAAATAAAACAGAGCCAAGGATGGTTAAATAATCAAATTAAGAAACAAAATATGAATTTGCGAGGTCTATACAGATCACTTTTGAAATAAAAGTCAACCCCTCCTAGGCTGGATTTAAACCAGTGTCGATAGGTTTGAGGATGCTAGAATGGGCAACTGAAAAATGGTCTAATACCAAAGCCAATGGTGGCAGGACTGGAATTGTCTCTTGATTTACTAAGAGAGGTTTAACAAGTTCTCTTGGACATGAACATTTAGTCATTTTTAAATATTTGAAAGAAAAAAAATGAATATCTAAAGGTGGCTGGACTGGTCTCTCACCTTCAGTTCTCAATCCAAAAATGTGAGAAAAATATGAGATAGTAATAATTATCTTTTTTTATTTTGGGACAAGTCCCTTTAGAAGAAAATGCAGAAAAAAGATTCTGGACTTTATGACCTCAGAGTAAAATGAAAAAAAGAATAACAAAATGAACAGATAATAATAGTTATTGTCATTTCAACAGTTCGCAAAAACAGGAGAAAGAAGAGTCCCTAGGGTACATCAAAGCAAGATAGTTCAAATATCCTCATGGAAATATTTTTAGAAAGCTAACAGTAAAACCGCTTCAGAAGTTGTACATAATAAGAAAATAAATCTCACTAATCATCTTGGAAAATCCAACAGGTTCAACTCAATAATGAAGAAAATTTAGATTAAATAGCAATCAGGTGTTATGTAAAGACAGAGATCATATTATTAAATATCTTCTCCTAAAGGAGGCTTATTGATGCTTGTAAAGAGCATCCTTCTCACTGCTCAAATACGTAAGATCATGCAATGGATATATAAAAGATACAACGGTAAAGTTGGACAATAGAACTCAACCATTTTGTAAAGCATATCAAGCTATATATAAATAATAAGTTTAGAAAAAAAAATAATAATGCAGATTATGATAATATTCACAACAATTTAATAAAAAATAGGATATAATTAGTAAAAATAAAATTAAAATATAATAAATGTTATTTATTATTGAAACAGTATCAGTTAAATATATACCTATGGCAAATTTATCAGCATAAGTTAAAAAATTTAAAACTCCGATGCGAATATGATATTCCTTTAAGTGATTCATCAAGTGAGATCCATAACCTTTTAACTGTTCTGAGCTATTCACAGCACAAAATACAATTTCAGAAAAACCCTGACTAGGAAAAAGGCGGAAACATATGCCCCCAATAGGTCGAGAGTCTTTTAACAAAGCTAAGGTTTTGTGCTTCCTGAAAAAAATTAAATTACCATAATTGAATGTATGTAATACAAAATGTACAATAATTTTCATAATAAAAAATAACTAAAGGACACTTACGGATCAAATATGAGTCTGGATATGTATTCTATAGGCATACGAGGAAGTTGATGAAAGAAAACACTTTGTAATCCTATAAGTCTGAGCATTGTAGTACGAGACGCTGGTTCATCAAGAGAATTGGAAACGAGGCACACTTCTATTTGACCCGTTTCTTCCTGAGCTTTTGCTATCTCCACAGGAGGAGTAGCCTCCTTAAAAACTAACTAGAATAAATAATTATTTTAGATTAGATTTACTGGAATTTTGAATTGAGTACATAAAATGTTCATAAATATATTTAAAAAAATGTCAACATTAACTTAAAATACATGGGATAAGTATAATTATAGAACTTCACTATACATTCGCCCGTTACTGACAGCCAGATCTGAATTAAGAGTAAAGGAATGGTGGCAAACCTTTAATAACTGGCCAAAATAAACTTGTTTCCAATTTTTTTCATATTTGTAATTGTATTGATATTATTACAATTATTATATTTTATATAATGTGCTGTAATTTAAGATGACGATGATACAGAAAGAACCCTAAAGGAGACAGCAGCTAGCAATACATCTTCCTGATATGGAATTATAATGTTGGTCCAAATATGTCCATCTACTTCAGCTTTACCAAGCTATTTCAAGTTAGTTAATACTGTTATCTTAATATTTTCAACAATTGATATGTTCCGTTTAAGTGCCCATTTAGTCATGAAATCTTTTATTGTTGCAATAACTATTAAAACTGTGTTGGGCTGTATAAGATAATTTCTAGAAGAGATTAATTCTGCAATGTGATCTCCTCCACCTCAAGTGACCAAATAATGGATCTCTATATTAAGGATTTCAAAACAGTTAAAATATAGCAATACTAAAACCTATAAAAAAAAAAATATTATCTTAAAAGTGCCTTTGATTATCAAATAATTGATCTCAACATCGAGGATATCAAAAAAGTTAAAATAAATCGATACCAGAGTATAATATCTCAGAATCGATAATATTTTCATAAAAAGCAATTTTCATAATCCTGTAACTAATCTCAATACTGAGGATGAATGAATGAATGAAAATAATTTTATTATTCTGGGACTAGTGTCCCTTTAGAAAAAGTTACAAATACAGAAGTTATATATATTAATATTCTGGTGTGTCCATAAAATACAATTTAATATTTACAGGTTGATTAGGAATACAATAGGAGGATATGTGAGATGATAAAATAAATTGATATAAGAGGATCCGATCATAAAACAAACAGTATTTTCATAAAAAGAACTTTCAATACTGCAACAATAAACACCACTATCAATGATATCCGAAAAGTTATAATAAATCAATACATGAGAGCATAATCCTGAAATTGGTGGTATTTTCATGAAAAATGCCTTCGATAAAGCAATAATGGGCACCATTATTGAGGATATACAAAAAGTTATATTCAACTGATATGCAAGCTTGTGATCTAAAACTTGATGTAATTTTCTTCTTCATTCTTGTTATGGACGTAACATTATGGATTATAATATCAGGATATCAGAAAAAAATTATATAATCATACTCAAATAATTAAAATCTAATATTGACTTTTACTTCAGAACTAAAATGCACATAATAATTTTTATTGAATTGAAGAGCAAAATAAGTTATTTTTAATTTCTGATTAATACACCAATATTAGTAGTTATTTAAATGAATCTCAAAAAGTATAAAATAAATACGTTTTCATAAAAATGAAGCCTTTAATTATACCTGTCATAAATATTGTTACAAGGAAATATATACAAATTTCAACAGAAAAATTCATTTTTTAAAAAACTTTATTAGAAAATAAAAGGTATATCTATAGAGAGTAAAAAAAAAAAAAAAATTACTCAAAATGCCCTCTTTGTGCCTCGAAATAGGCATTTAATCTCCGAGGCCCATCATCAATAGCAGCACGCAGCACTTCTTGAGGAAAGCGCTCAACTGCTCGGACCAGAGATTGTTTGAGGCTTTATAAGTTATGGTGTGCTCTGTGGCATTCCATCCTCTCCAGTTCGGACTAAAGCTGATAATCTAGTGGGTTGAGATCAGAGCTTCCTGGCCAATCCGAGGGAGAGAAGCATACATACAGATACGGTTTTGTTATATCTATTTATAGTGCAGTACACGAACATACCGCTGATATCCAAAGGTTTTTAAGTGCTGAAAATCTGGGACCTACATTTTCCAACTTTGTGTAAGGCGATCACAGCTATTTGATTTTCTTTATCACCCCACTCCATGTTAACTGAGCGAAAGAAAAATACAAGCTAATTGGGATTAATATCCTGGCATGTAAAGAAAATAATCTGATAGATGTAAGGATTATCTAAATAATACCCAAGGATGTAAACAAAGTTCAACTTTTGTAACAGTATTTATGGCAGAACTAGGTAATTGTATAAACAATTATATTTGATAATTTAAATGAAAATTCCAAAAATTTTATCCATAGATAGAAAAAAAACAAGAGCAAATTGCAAACTGGTCATAAAAAAATAACCACAATCTGTACATGCATAATTAGAGTTAGAGTTTATTGACCAATAATTAGAATTTGGTCCGACCAGATGGCAACATGTATCGGTCGGTGCCATTAATAATAAGTAAATAATTTTTACATGGTTACATTTTTTTTTCTAAAAATTTCAATATAATACAATTCTAGCATAGTATAATATATATTAAATAATGAGTGGCAATATTTGAGATCTATAAGATTATATGATATAATATAAAATATAAATGATAATTACGATTATGTATAGATATGAATATATAGTGGTAATAATTTATAAGATAATAATAAAATAATTAAGAAATAAGAAAAGAAACATATGAACAACAATAAGAATAATAGCTTGACTAGAAGGAATAGAAGTTTATAATCAGAGGATAATACGTAGTACATCAATAATTGGAGTGACTAGTAGAAGAAAAGAAATACAATAACTTAAGGAAAAAGAAAAATCACAGTAGATTTCTTTTTTAGTTCCTTTAGTGTTAGGTCTGTTTAACAGATCTTCTGGTATTTGGTTGAACAGATATGGAATCATGTAGCTCAATGTCCGTTTACCGAATCTATTGTTAAATGTAGGTTCGAAATACTTGGTTTTGTTTCTGACATTGTATAAGTAGCTGATTCATTTTGAAAGGAGTTGTCATGCTTGAATTTGAGTGCTACTTTGTAAATGTAAAATTAATTTGGTGGTAATGATCTAGCTATTTTGAAGTTTCCTAATGTATCCCTGTTTTTTGTTATAGTTTTCAATGTCCTGATTTGTAATTTACAGAGTTTCAATAAATGACTATATGCACTGGCTCCATAAAATTCAATCTCGTTGTTAAAGAGTATTTCAAGAAATTATAAGAAAATTCCCAAAATGTCCTAGTTTTTCTTGTACTAAACAAATTCAATTCATTCGCAATTCCTTGTTTTGAAGGTATTCCCGGTTGCTGGACACCATGAGATCACTAAATGTAATTTTAAAATATCATTAACCATAACTCTAATTATTCTCACCCAGTTACGAGACTAGAAGAAGTTACCGAATTCTATTAAATTAAATTCTGACAAAAAATTAACCTTTATAAAATATAATAATAAAACAAAACAACAAATATTTGCACAATTTTAATGACACTTACATTTGAGGTATGAGCAGGATCAGCCATTTCAGAGAGAATTTGTTGAATGACTGATTCAGGAATATCATCATCATCTTCTGGCAATACATTTTTTTTCCGTTTTGTTTCAATTTTCTTGCCTTCAGCACTAAACATTAATAACAATTAGGCAGTTAGAAATTAGAATAACATGTAATTTTATTTGATAAAATAAATTAATAATAATTTGATATAATTATAAATACATCATTGTTTGGTTTGTCCTTGGTTTAGAAACAGTTCATGCTTTTATAGTTGTAGTTTTTGATAAGGGGGTCAAATCTTTCAAGGCATGGTTCTATTTAACTGGTGTCCATTCCCATATCTGCTTTAATGTTGGTCAAAGGGATATACTAATAATTTAATAGTGTAAGGTTACAATAAGTTCACCATAATGTCTGCTTGAATCCTGAGTGGTTTCTAACCTACAGTATATTTATATTCTTAATTTGACAGAAGAGTTAAATTCTTTTTCATTTTCTAAACATTGTTTAATAGTGTTGAACATGTCGAGTTTTGTGTCTAAAAGCTATGATTTGTAGACAGCTGTTTTTCTTTTACCATTTAGGTAAAAGTGCTACAAAATCGCATTGGATGTTTATTGAATCTTACAGTGAGAATACTGATGGTAATTTATAGTGCTTTGGGTGGTTTCAGGAGTGGGGTAGCCCAGTGATAGAGCACTGAGCTTCCAATTCTCAAGGTCACAGGTTCGAATCCCAGTTCAAGGCAGAAAAATTATTTATTCAGTTTCATTGACCATGGGACGACCCTGTGGTTTGGAGATCCTTCTGTGGCACACCCAGCCAGTATGTACCCTTTATTAAATAATCAATTAAGGAGGAAAACCTAGCGGTTGAGCCATAATCTTGGCCAAATCACCTCCTTGCATAACCGTTGACCATGAAACAGTACTTTCCCTAAATAATATTGAACCCAAGACCCATCATGGGTTGTAGTAGTTTAGGTTATTATTTTTTTTTGTCATGGCTGGTTTCAAGAGATTTGAAAGTGAAAATTTTGACATGAGAAATGAAGACCGTGAAAGACCATCACAAAAGTTTGAAGATAGCAAATTACATTGTAGCATGACACAAGCATTGTAAAATGATGATGACACTCAAACCCCACAAATCAGATCAATTGTATGTAACTCAAAAAGCTGTCTCCACACATTTGAAAGCTATGGGAAAGATCCTGAAGATGGAAAAATGGGTTATATATGAACTGAATGAAAGACATCAAGAGAACCGAAAAACTACCTACAATAGTGATCTCCAGGTACAAAAGAAAGTCATCCATCAAATTGTGCCAAGTAATGAAACATGGTTATATTTTGAGACTCCTAAGAGTAAAAGATCATGGGTTACTCCAGACAAACCATCAACATTGATTGCAAGACCAAGTAGTAATGGAAAGAAAACAATTCTCTGTGTATGGTGCGATAAGAAGAGTGATTTATTATGAGCAACTAAAACTTAGTGAAACCCTTAATACTGAACCTATATAAATATATGTGTGTGTGTGCAAATTGTTAAATCATTTGGTCTTATCATTTAGGCTGTAATCCCAAAGTTCATTATCAAATACTCCATAATTTATTTCTACAGAAAGGAATCAGTCACCTAAATCTACTTTAAGACACACATGGCTACTTTTGCCATTCCATCTACAATGTGATAAAAAAATATTGAGCCCAGTTGCCAATTCGGAGTAGCACTTCAGAACTATTATCTTTAATTTTTATATTGAGTTTCTTTTATATAACAAGAATATTTACATTTATGGACATCTTATACCTTATGCACCATGTATCTAATTAGACATAAAATTAAGTTAAAGCTTATTATGACTTCCATAAATCAATCTAATTCTGAAGGATTCAATTTTTTCTTAATAAAAATCAACATACAAATCTGATGCTCCTCTTTTAACACCTGAGACAATTGCATCACTCTCATTGCTCCCTAGATTTTTTTCCATTTCAGCTTTTCGACTACCTATAGAAAAAAACAAAACAAGTATGATTAAAATCTATCATGTATTTGTCATGAGAGAATAAATGGGCCATTTAGAAAGTAAGAGGAAACAAAGAATAGGTATGAATGCACAAATATTTGCCTATATATATAAAAGTCAATTCTCATTAAGATATACTGTGATTTCCCCACAGATTAGCCAAATGATAAAAATTGAAAAAGAAGTGGAAATTAGTTAAACAGTAAAACACCTAAATACAAAAAACCTTTCACTTACCCTTATTTTAAATACAAATCGTACAGTACTCTCTTTACTCAAATAAATGAAATATATGAAGAAAAGTTAGTATACCCTATCCTGATTTCTATCGGACATTTCACTCAAATCAAAATTTTAGGTATTAGCCATTTTTTCTCCAAGCTACAGAAATAGTCATTCAATAGAACAAACAAAAACATCTGCATGTTTAGAATTTTACTGCACAGAAAATTAAAAAAGTATAAAAAATGTTTCCTAATTAAACTTAAAAAAAAAAATAAAAGAATCCTAAATTTTCTTTCCAGCCACAGGAAAGAAAATCTGGTGCCTATCTAATTTTCAAAGGTTACTTATGAGTGCACAATTTCAATTTAAAAATTTTTCATCATTTTCATCTGATTAGACTCAATACCAGTGAAAACTTCAGAGAATTCCAAGGCTTGTTCATGTTAAAATATTAAAGAGTTAAAGACACAGTATATAACATGAAAAAACTTAAGCACACTTCAAGAATCTCAAGGTTACAAACTACTTAAAAATTATTAGCAGATGTTTTATGAACTGGATTTAATGTTTAGGGTCTCTGAACTACTGTAGCAGCAGATATTGAAGCAGGCCAAAGACTATTTCAGTCTGTGGCACCAGAAAAAGAAAAAGAAAGTAACACTAATGTCAAATGTTAATGTGAATTCCTAGATTTATAATAAATAAAACTGGTTGGCCTGAGCGAATAACTCACAGAAAATTTTGTTTAGTGAAGGAATAGCAAAACAATATGGAAATAAGTAGATCCTATGCATTATCTGAGGGAGGAATTAATTGTTTTTAATTGGTCGATTACAATATGCTATATAACATAGTAGACCAAAATATTTGTACAAATTGCTTTGCAAAGGCCTATTTTTAAATGTTGACTGCAACGATAATAAAGGTAATAAAGCCAAAAAAAAAAAGCCTCAATCATGGGATTTTCAAAATTATTAAAAAATATAAAATGTGTTTTTTTTTTTTTTTGTTATTATTTTAATGGAATTTACAACTGTATTACATAGAGAATACAATAAGTAAATGAGAAATTTGTAACATGGCATGTACAACATGAAGAGAAATTACCCATTGGTAGAACTCAAATTAAAGTTCTATATTAGAAGATCCCGAGGCCATCTTCTTTTCAGATGCCTCGGAGGGTTATCAGGGATCGAGGAGGAAGCAAGGTTTGAAACGAGAGGATTCGGATGGTTCTGCAGTTTGTTATGGAAGGAAAGGTATCTGGATTGGGCCAGATCGGAAACATATGGAACATTAAGGTCTTTATGGATGATTTTATTTGTGACAAAGTAAGGAGCGTTGAGGATTTTACGAAGGATTTTGGATTGTAAGGATTGGATACGAAAGGAATTCGATGGTTTAGTGGAGCCCCAAAGCTCAATTCCGTAAGTCCAAATAGGTCTTATTATTGTCATATATACGAGTCGTTTATAATTGATTGAAAGCTTAGATCGTTTGTGTAGTAAGTGCTGCAGTAGTCGAAAACGTCGGGCAGTTTCTAGTCGTTTCAGTCTAGTATGGGGGTTCCAAGTGAGTCGTTTGTCAAGGTGGAGTCCCAAGTAGCGGATTTGCTCAACAGGAATAAGTGGAGTATTATTGAAGGATACTGTAGGACAAGAGGTCATAGGTTTACGACGAAGGGTAAAGGTGATTTGATGGGATTTGTTGGAATTTATTTTTATTCTCCAATTTTTACACCATTCTTCTTCAAGGCTTGTGATATGTGATTGAAGAGTTTGGGATGCAATTAAAGGATCGTTATTAATTGATAGGATACACGTGTCATCGGCATAGGTGGTGATGACAGTGTTGGATTATATAAAATGTAAGAACAAACAAATGCCTTTAAGAAATAATGAAGTTAATATATCAGCAAAGAAAAAAAGTGTAGTAGAATAATAAATGCAGTATCTTTAAAGATGAAGAAATTATAAAGTATACCAAAATTAATGGACTGTATCTTTGTAAATAATTGTACGATTTTTACTTTTTTTTTTTTGCTTCTCCACTACCAAAGACAGGGAAGCATTGTATTCGTGCAAGAGGTTAAAAAAAATTTTGTGCTCAGATTTGAAAATTTCGACTTGCATTTTACGTTTCAGGCATCTAGGATCAAATTTGGTTCAGTGCCTGTCTGTCTGTCTGTAGTAATCGATGTAACGGGCATATCACCTACTACTGTTCATCTAATTTTCAGGAATTATGCAGGTTGGTGTATAGATGGTCCCTTATCAATTTTATTAAATTCTAACCAGCACTTCCGCTTATGCACGCGCAAATGTATTTTTGTAGATATGCCAATATTTCAGAAATGGCTAGTTCGATTTGGCTCAAAATTGGATAAAAGGTAGGTATTTGTGAAAAAATAATGTAGGGTCAATTTTATTGAATTCTGTCAGTTGCTTTCTTTTATTTATGTGCAAACGTGTTTTCCTTGATACGTCTATATCTCTAAAATCGTAAAAAAGACTTGGCTCAAATTTTGAGGGGAATTTAGGAATTGGTAAACATAAATTAAAATAGGCATCAATTTTATTAAATTCTACTGCTCCAAAAAAAAAGAAAGTTCCACTTTCAGATCAGGAAATGTATTATTTGATATGCCGATAGTTTGAAAACAGCGCATTCGATTTGACTAAAACTTGGAGGAAATTTGAACAGTATAGAAATTACTTGGTATCAATTTCAATGAATTCCATTTAATAATTAAAATTAATATAAATAATTGTTAACAATATGGCTGCGAAATGTTGAAGGCACTGATCATATGGAGTGGGAGTTATGTTATCACAATATTGTTATGGGGTTATAAAATTTTAGGTTTTGTTCAAGAAATTAATTTATAATGTATTGTTTGGTTGATTCCAAACGTTACTCATGACACTTACTGCCGTTACTTATATTTCGTGTAGTTTTCAATACATTTAAAGTAATTTATACCCTGAGTTTGTAAAAAAAACAACCTCTTACTTGTGATTGTGTTTATTTACATTGAAGTTCAACCAATTCGTCTTGAATTCGATTTCCTCCTTAAATATCGAAGTTATGTGTACTACACCCATATTTTTATATTTTTCTAGATTAAAGCATTTTGTTCTGACTGAAGGAAAGTTTTGGTCTCGTTGACTCCGAACAAACAACAAGTTGCATTTTTCCTATGGATTTTTTAGTTCCATCCATTTTACGAATGAAAATATGCCTATTAAGTATATATCACTACTATTATTGCAAAAGGTCATATGCAAAAATTTTCAACTTTTATTCTATTTGTATTAAAGGTGACATTTTGTAGTCTGCAACTGATATAAGTAGTCTGCTACTACGGAAAATAGCAGATGACAATAAAATATGAAATTATACTAATAAACCATAAAGAAATAATGAATTTTTATGCACTCTTGGAAAACAATCAATTTTTATATACGACCTTTTGCACAAACAGTAGTGAAATTCATGTTCAGTGTGCATTTTTTTTGTTTTTTTTTTTAATTAAGGATAATCAAATATGGAATCTTCAAATAGAGCACTCTTCCACATTTTAATATTAGCTGATAAACAAAATTCATGGATATAAAACCTGCGAATGCTGAAGGGTAACTGTGTTTCCGAATCGGCTTCTCCCAGAGATCTTATTTTCATACGAGAAATTGTATACCTTGTAATATTTTAGCCAATGAAAACGGTGAGGAAGCTATACTGGAATACTTTTTTTTTTAGTAATCAGGAGTACTATCAAGAAAAAAATTCCTACTTTTTGAGTTATTCGCAAATAAAATTTCTTTTCCTTCATAGCCTTTCCCAAGAAAGTTCGGAGGATATGGCTATTATTCGCATTTGAAGGAGGAGAATATCTTCAAAATGAGAGGTCAATCATTGTATTTGATGAAGAATTGACGAAGTTATGGTGTACCGACAAAAAAACACCTTTTAGAAATAATATATATGATTAACATATTTATTAAATTAGCACTCTATGAAAAAATAAACAATTACCTTTAGTTTCAATTGATGCCAGAAAATGTGCAGGAGGAATTTGTTTGAAATCTGCATCCCATATTGGTGAATTATTAGAATAAATTTCTTCTTCTATCAATGTCAAGAACCTATTATTTCAGACAAAATATTTACAAAAAAAAGTGATAGATATATGAAAATAAAAACAATAAAATAACTCTTTACTTACTTCCTAACATGGCTCAGTAATAAATGTCGCCTTTCCACTGGCATTTTATCTTTAATCATTTGACAATTATCCATTAACAAATTTTTAACAGATTTAAATACTGCACGAATAAATGTACGCCCAAATACAGATGTTGTCTCATAGTGAGGTAAAGAGTCACAAAGAGTTGAAGGAATACGACAAAACACAAGCCATCTAGGACAAAACAACATAATTAAACATTTGTAATAAAGTAAATTAACAAAACTTTAATACAAATCAACAAAGAAATATATGTCGAAATGGAATTTAAGTAATATAAATTAATCAGAGAAATAAGTAGTCAATAAAAATAAAAATAAATAGTAATTACCATATCTTATTTATAATAAAAAAGATGAGGTAATTACTATTTATTATAATATGGCTTCTAAATTTATAAAATGTTGGTAAATTTCAAGATACCTTCGATTTTATTATTTTTTTATTTATTAGATGTACATAGATGATTCAAATATAAGTTATGTACCTTGAATAATTAACTTTATATGCTGATATTTCATCTTGGGATAAAGCCTGGTGACGAGCACTAGGTGTTTCAAAGTTCCAATGGTTAAGAGCATTTAAAAATATTTTTGCAACATCCCACATCATCTGCCAATCCTTAAAATATAGTTGATCCCATTGGTGTCATAATCAAAATAGCATGTACTTCAATATTATAAAGCAACTTAGTTAATAGAAAATAAAATACCTTTTGCGTCAGTTGGCCAAATTTATAGTACACAAAATTCATTGTTGCCTTAGCAATGTTTGGATGTTCAAAAGGAGGATGTCCTAAAGGACCTTGAACCATAGTAGGTTTTTTCATTTCTCCAATACATTTTCTTAAAATCTGAAAGAAATATAAATGTATTCTGTTACTTTATATTTTCCTTATTAAATAAAACAAGAAGACAAAAATTAATAACACAGATTTATGTTGCAAGTAAATTTTGTTTATAGTATTGGTTGCCTTACAAGTGTTATGAGTATAAGGGACTTATATAGGCACATTTATTTTATTTAAATATTGGCCTAATCAATGGGCATTATCATTATTTATTGATCATAGAAAATTAACAAAATCATCCCTAAACTTATTCTTTTTTGTTTTTCGAATCTTTTACACTGGAAGGCAATTTAGATTACCATGTTAGACAGTAACTGCTTTTAGCTAGACCCATTACACATAGGATTTGTTTTGTTCTACCATGGTTTACTGTAAGCCTGGTCAGCATTCCTAAGATAGTGCAATCAAGATTAAATTTAAGTGATGCAAAACATGAAGTGAAGGCTATCTCCTAATAAACTGCTTGATGTTCCGTAATTGTTAAAGCACGTTCCCAATTGTAAAAATGCTGCCATTAATTCATTGTTTCCCCTCACCTACTCTCATCAAGTCTTATAATGCAACTTTGGCATTTATATAATGGCTCTAGCCATCTTATTGCCCGATAACCCTTTATGTCCCAATAGCCATTGGAAAAAGTAATTATTTTCAGATTGGTACTAATAGGGACATTTTTTTAGGGGTCAAATTGTTTTTGAAGTATCAGAATAGACTTGTAGATAATTAGAGTACCATTTTGTGATAGTTTGAAGTAAATTGGTTGGTAAAAAGTTTTCTTCTCTACTTTGTCAACTACATTAGAAGAGCTTCAGAGAAGTGTAGCAATTTTAGAAGAGGCTGTAATCCTTAATAATAGTTAGGGATAGTTGGTTAGGATAATAAGGGATAGAACACGTTTCCACTTCTAATTACTTTGCCTGCTGGATGTTTATTGTCAGAATAGACTTTGAGGATATATATTAAGTTAACCATGTCCTTCTAATGCATAATGACATCTCTCAAGCTGATACTTGAAGAGCATTTACTGGAGACTTTTTAAATGTACCCAAACATAACCTAATGTCTTGATTTTGCGTTATATTCAACTTATTAGAGGGGAGTTCATTTTATTGTATACGACACAGCAGTAATCTAAAGTTGATCTAACTATTGTTATTGTTATGTAGAAAGTGAGCATGTTCTGTTGGTGAGAACCCCAAGCAACTCCAGCTATGGATTTTAGTATTTTCATGTTGTGTATAGATTGTTTATAGTTATTTTTTATACAACCTTTGAAATTTATTTGCTGTCTAATGCTGCACCTAAAACTTTAAGTTTTCTTCACTTCTAATTATGTATTTTTCAATTGAAATCTCAAAATCCTTGAAATTAATAACTAAGAAAAAGGAGTAATGTTATCCTTGTTAGGGTTAATTTTTAGGTCTACTTTTGAAAATGTTTGTGTTAGGATATTCATGAAAATTACATCTTAACCATTTGGAGATTGCACTACAATGTAAACTAATAAGTCATCAGCAAATAGGATGATTTTACTCTTATATAGATAAGAGAGTACTATTGATAATGTGTTCCATGTACAGATTAAAAAGCATCAACTTTCATAGTTATAAAAAAAAAATCACTGAAGTACCTTAAACAAATAATAATAAACTCTCCGGGTCTCATCATCTTCTTCTTTGTGTAAAGCAAGAAAAATGGTTTCGATGTCAACAACCATCACAAGAAGTCTATTTATTTCAGAATCTGGTAATGCCTGTAGATGCGACATATGCTGAGCTAACAAAAAAAGAAAGAAATTAAAGCAAAGATAACACATACAACACCAATTCATTTACCAGAAAACTTTTTATAGTTAGAAAAGTAAAGGGTGTCTAAATAAATTTAGTTTAAACACATCTTCATCTGGTAATTTTTTGCACAGCCATTCACAAAATGCCGGCATCTCTTTTTCTCTGTTTTGTAAAAATTAGAATTTAATTTATTTAGAACTAAAAGAACAAGAACCAATTAAATTTATGTCAGAGATAATCAAAACTAATTTACAGGTGTTGATGATCTTAAAGTTGTATGCCTTAAAGTCCCAACAAACAAACAAGAATAAAATATTTTCTGTAATACATACAAATGACAAATTTTTTGTCCTCAGGCTGTTGGTGATTGTGAAATGAGAAATTTTTGCTATGTGGACGAATATGTGTTAACATTGAAAAAGTATAAAATTAATAAAATAATAGTGTTTTTTGAAATATTGTCATGCAGAAATTCTGAAAACAGAACATATTTTTTTAGGACCTGCTTTGTTTTTGTATTGATGTCATGCACAAATTAGTCATTGATTTAACTTAATCATTGTGATTATAGAAAGATAATATTTTATATTCTAAAATACAATAAACAAAATTTACTGATGTAATAATGATTATTTTACAAAAACTTTTTAAAGCATTTTTAACCTGATGTATGAGAACAATTTTGACAAGGATCATTTGGGTTTGCAGCAGATTTTTGAGATGCCTTCCATCCATTGCAATTACATTCCTGACAAGATGAATATGAGGCGAGATTCAATAACTTCCGTTCTTTTGGCCAAGCACAGACCTAAACACATAATTTGATACAAAAAAAAAAGAAACATAAGCTGAGATCTTCTTAATTAAAAACATAATGGATTTAGTCAAGTTTTTCAAAATAGAATGACCATAAAGTGAAACAAAAAAATTTCTAATAGTACTAGTTTACAAGAGTTCCGCACAGATTACGCATGGTTCACAATCACTTCGGTCACACTTGTTCCTGGAATCCCGAATGAGTTCGGGTTTATTCGAAAGAGAACGAAGGCAACCGATCTCTTGGGCCAGTTACTATTAAATTTCCCGTCATTTAAGTACTTCTATAACCTTAACCATGTTCAGTTATATTGCAGAAGCCATTCAAAATTTAGGCTACACATCATGAAACCTGAATTGAACTTGTACATATATTATAGATTTGTAAAAAAGAAATAGTAATCTTTAATTATTACATCTCTGAATGCTATTTCATGATATTATTTTTCTTATTGATGACTTTCATTATTCATTATCTTGGAATTATCAGTATATTCATAAATCTTTAATCTGACATCATTTTCATAAAAAGCGTCCTTGACAACTTAATAGTGGACTCTTATATCTAAGAAATCCAAAAATCTTCAAAAAATCGACGAACAATTTTAAATCCGACAGTATATTCATAAAAAGCTCCGACGACTAGAAAATAGTGGATCCGTATATCTAAGAATTCAAAAAAGTTACATAAACATGATGCTTAATCTCAAATCAGACAGTATATGGATACAAAGCGCTCCCCCACCACTAGAAAATAGTGGACGCTTGTATTATTATTATAATTATAATATAAGTTTATTATTATAAACTAGATAGATGACATAAACTAAAAAAGGCTTGCTAAAATAAATTATAAATGCAATTATTCCAACTTCTATTGAAAAACTGGAATAACAAATAAAAAGATATTATCCAAATGATAAAAAAAATTTTTTATACACAGATAATATACAGTATATGCGTTTCTACAGCCACTACATGTAAGCAAGTGTCCTTAAAAATGTAATTTCTAAAACCATTTTTTTTAACAGGCCTTGAAGAAACGACTCACACATTATTTTATGTATTTTTTTCATTTTCTTTCACAATGATAACCGTTATAAAAATTAATAATTAACAAATTATTAAATACACAATTCGTTAATAAATTGTTAATAAGGAAGTTCCATGAAGAGAATACGCTATTTTTTTTCTCAAAAATGCGTGAAAAAGGGTTGTGTAATGGGGCAATAGCTGACGTCATACAAGACGACAACATTCGGCTGTTTTTGGGATTCCATGAACAAGTGTGATCGAAATGATTGTGAACTACGCGTAATCCATGCGGAGCTCTTGTGAACTAGTACCTTTGTAATTAAACTTCTATAATGATTAATTTCCTAAAAATACATTTTAAGGGCAAAGTTATTTTTATATATTTTTTTAATATAATAATTAATCCGTATTCTTTCATTTATTTCTTTTCTAGAAAGAATCCCTGACTAATAAACTACTAGAATTTAGGCATGAAAACTTTGTTGACTCTTAAAAGACTAGATTTAACAGTCCTATGTTATAGAAATGTAAGAAGACGTCAGTTAATTCCAAGTAAAGCTTGACTTAAACGTGCAGAATTACTTGATTATTACTTAAAAATAATAATAAATAACATAACAGCTCATACTCACATAACATAACAACAAAAAGGAAATTTAATTTTTACATGTTTGTCCTTGGTCGGGACAAGTGTAAAGTTATCTATCCTTCGAAGGTCTTTTTTTTTTTTTTTTTTTTTTTTGTCCTCCCCTTCCTCGCCTTTAGGACTATACGGGGGTTTTCCCGGGCCAGGGAGTGTGGACGAGGATTTAAAAACTCCTCCGGGCACCGGGACGCGAATTATTGACTATTATTTTAAATCAAATCTTGTGTATCAGGTTGCCGGGCAACGGCGGTGCAGTGCACACGCGTTAGCCCATTCGGCCACCTCACCCACGAACCATCCTTTCAAGGTCTGTGAATGGTCTCCTCAGCTTGCTGAGCCCTGGATTAATTGGGAGGTCTCTCTCTACCATTCTTGGTGGTCTTACCTTATACCCTTACCTAGTTCTCTATTCAGTGCTACCCTAGCTCCTTTTATACGTTTAACTTGGTGATCCCTTGTTGCATACTTAACACTTTAGATGTTTGTCCTTGATCGGGACAAGTGCAAAGTTATCTATCCTTGCAAGGTCTGTGAATGGTCTCCTCAGCTTGCTGAGCCCTGGATGTTAATGGGGTGGTCTCCCTCTACCATTCTTGGTGGTCTTACCTTATACCCATACCTAGTTCTCTATTCACTCCCACCCTAGCTCCTTCCTTTTTTCGTATGTTAAACTACGTTTAATCATTCTTACCCTATATTCATTATATCTTATCAAAAATCTATCACATTCTTTAAAAGGGTTAAACAAATATGGTTAGAGAGATAATTTAAAGATTAGACAGAAATAATAAAGTCATTAGTAGACAGATAGAGATTAGATATTGTAAAGAAAGTATACATACAGTAAGATAAAGTAAGAGAGAGAAGAGTGATATTACACTGACAGTTCAATAATCTACATTATTGAGCTTGATAAAAATTCTTCTCTGGGAATAGACTTTTAGAAAAAATTAAATTCCCTTACTTTTCCAGTTTTCTCTGTTTGTAAACATGCTCATTATAGGTGAAGAAATCTAAAGGTACTATTTCGCTGGCGCGGTCCATGACAGCGACCGCTATTCCACGCTGCCAACCGCTGTTGGCGTAGCTATTTCGCTGAAACTGCTCACTGGGGTTGTTTTAACCTGCCTATAACCTTCGAAAATTTCGCTGTATCTTCGAAAATAAAAAATGGACATAATATAATGATAAAAATGAACATCCTATAATAATGAACATCTCTGACTACCGCTTTTTTATTTGAGTTGGAAAAAGAAGAGAAAATGTACATAAAGAGAAGGAATATCAGTATTTCGATGTGATGCTTATCATCAAAGTCCCTCTGATATTAGATATTAAGAAATATTATTATTATTAGATTAAGAAATATCATATATTTGTAATTAAATCCCAGCAGGCGATGTTTTATAGTTTTATCAATAGTAATCAGTAAAACACCACTTTAATTAAAAAATACAAATAGATTTTTCAATGGGTGGATTTTAGTATTTACCTGGCGATAAAATTTGTTGGATTCTTTAATTTATTTAATATCGTTTGGATTTAGGTATATTTGTATTTCGCTGTAAAATATTGCTGGTGGAATAAATAAATGAATAATCTTCTTACTTCAACCTTAAAAAAATAATTTACTATTGCATTGTTTCAGTTTTAAACAATATTTCTTATAATTTCGCCAGACTTGACAGAAACATAGGAAATAAAATGTATTGACGTGACTATTATCATCAAAACAATGCTCCGATATGATAACATAACCTACAACCGCTGAACCGCCAACAGCTCCACTGCTTCAAGAGGAGTCAGATACGAGCAGCTTAGATATGACGTCATACCTAGACTGCTGAGCAGTGCCAGCGAAATAGGTTCCTTTCTATTCCACTAAAGCAGTGGTCAACCGCGAGCAGTCGTGGTCGTGGACCGCGCCAGCGAAATAGTACCTTAAGATACATTGGTGCTAGGTTAAGATAAAAAATAAATAAATGAAACTGTAACCTGCTGTTTTCTTTGTTGAATTCTTTGGAGATCACAGGGCAATAACGTATTGTCTAGTTTCTGAGCTCCTTCTCCTTTACTATGACTTGTTCCAGCAGTCTCACTCATTAGATAGGTTTAATTTAAACTAGAATAAATAACCAAAACAATATAAATAAAATTTAAAGGTTTATTGATGAATAAAGAAGTCAAAGTAAATAATATAATTTATTAAAATATAGTTGATGAAAAATAAATTATGATTTATAATACATTGATAATTTCTGAAGTAGCTACATGGATTATGATGTAAATGCCATTTTGGTACTAACTTCAGAATTAAAACACATAAGAACAGGTTGTTTAGTAATTAATAATTTCCTTTGTTCAGAATACTAAATAACAGTTATCAGAAACAACAGAGAGAATTTGATATTCTGGGATAATATTGATATTTCATAAATCAAAACTAACATTAGAGTTAAGGGCAATGATTCCCTTTCTTCTTCCTATATAATTATAAATGCTTCTATATAAAAAATCAAGTTCTAACTTGTTTCCAACAAAAATTACACAAATATCTGACAAGTTATATCACTTAAAATGAATCAAATCTAGTAATATATAACTCTAAAAGTAAGAAGATGTCTAATATAATAATCCAGTCTATTATTATAAAATAAATTTGCAGATTATAATAATAACATAATTAGTATGTGTCTATTTTACCTTCAGTGCTCAAATTTGGTGAATTAATAACTTAATAACAATGGAAATAATAATTCAATAGTATTTATAATTGTTTAGTATTCAATAAAAATACATGTTATCAATCAGAAAGGCACAAAAAGCTTCATTATTTAACAAAGATTAAAAATACATAAGTGTTAATCTGTAATTTTTTTTAAACTGTAGTTACCTATCAATAATAAAATCAATAATATACTGGTAGGATGTAACTCAAGTAAACTTTGTAAAAGCACTAAAACTCTTGATACTATAATCTTATTTCAATTTACCATCCATACATCGTTTACAAACAAGTAGAATCAAAACAATACCTTCCCCAGTAGAACAACCTGACATATTGGTGTCTAATCAAAAAGTCAAGAACTAATCAAATATTTATTAATTAGGTTCAAACATCTTGCTATTGCTCATTTTTACCTATTTTACTACCAATCGTTATATTTTATTTATTAATAAATAATTTTAACTAATATTTCTGAATATGAACAAAAATCGTAACTGGCAACACTGGAAAAGCACTCATTGACAGAAATCTGGCTTTTGTTTACATTTATTGCTATTCCAGTTGAGGAACAACTTTGTGTTTGGTTTTATCTGGGTGTCCCGATATACTGCCCCAAGATGTCATCGAATTCTAGTGTAAGTTTTGGTTTTACTTATTTATATATGTCAAATATGATTTAAGTCCATTGTAGGATTGGAATTTATTTGGTATCAAAGTTTTCAGGCAAGGTATTAGAATTCATTCAGGATTAATTTCTATTCATTTAATCCCTTGTTTTTATTAAAACTAGAAATCTTGATTTTTTAACAATTATATAGTTGTAAATTTTTCTTTATTTACATTTTATGTCTAATTACCAACTACCCAACTTATTTTTTGGCTTCATCCATAAGTTTCTGTTATTCATAATTTAAATATTAATGAATTTCATGAACATCCGATGTTATCTGATAATTATCTCTTTTTTAGTTTATATTCAGGTAGTTGAGTAGAAATTGGGTGTTTAAATTGTAATGCTGTTGCACTAATCAGTTAACAACTGCTTTTAACAAAGCCATTTTACTGTTGCCATGTTTTCTGGATAAAACTATGGTAATGTCTCATTTGGCTGACATGTGGGGCAATAACATAACAATTACACAGTACATGAAATATCAAAATATCAATGAATATAGGCTAAGCAAACTGAAAAAGAGTGGAAAGAATTTTGTTTACATTAACGAAAGTCTAATTTTGAATAAACTGATAAGTTAAAAAACACACCTAGTATACTCCAGCTTGTCTGAACATTGTATCTTGCAATTTGCTGTTTTCTCCTCTAATGTGGTCGTGTTATCACTCAGTGTGTAGTTAATAAGTCCACACCTTTCCTTTTCCATATAGAATTACTTCATTTTAAAATTAGCAGATTTCTAATATACTTTAATGCAAAAATAACCCATTGCAATGTTCTAAATTTCACAATAAAATTCAACTTAAACGTTTGCTTAAAAAGTTTTGAAAAAAATTTGGAATGTAAATAAAATATATAACTGTATCTTGCCATTTGCTGTTATTCTCCTCGACTGTGGTCGTGTTATCTCACAGTGTGTATTATATAATTCCACACCTTTCCTTTCATATATATATATATATATATATATATATATATTATATATATATATATATATATATATATATATATATATATATATATATATATATATATATATATATATATATATATATATATATATATGTATATATATATATATATATGTATATATATATATATATATATATATATATATATATATATATATGTATATATAGTTACTTCAGTTTAAAATTAGCAGATTTTCTAATATACTTTAATGCAAAAATAATCCATTACAATGTTCTAAATTTCACAATAAAATTCAACTTAAACTCCTGCTTAAAAAGCTTTGAAAAAATTATATAACTATAACAAAGTGTAAGTAAAAGGTGTTGCCATTGCCCTAAAGGGTAGAGGCAAAAAAAAAAACAAATAAATAAATAATCTGAATAATGGTTAAAATATGTATCCCAACCAACCAAGACCTATTATTAAGCATTTAATAATTTTTTTTTACAGAAAACAGCTGACCACAGAAGAAAATGGGATGCCGAGGAATACGAAAGGATGGCGACAGAACGTCTCCAGCAGGAATTGGAAGCTCAGGAAAAATTAAATCAGCGTGCTGCGCCTGTTAAAAGAGATTATTTGAGGCAGAGAGATTACAAAGTAGATCTTGATTCAAAACTTGGAAAAAGTGTTGTGATAACAAAAAATACCCCATCTTCTCAAACTGGCGGGTAATTATATTTATTGTTGTATGTTGGAATTATATGTTTTAAGTAAGAGGTAATTGAGGTAAGAAAAGGATGATTTGGAGGTATTTTATGTAATCTGTTCTGATCTATAAAAACATATGTCCTCTAAAAACTAACTTGCACCTAACAATTATATGAGCAAATTCGATATTTTTACAAAATTTTAAACAGATAACATATGTTTATTTTAAAACTGCGTGAAATGGTATTGTCTTGTCAGTCTTATTTGTAACACATTGGATTTTAACTTCCCACTGCCAGTTTGCGAATTCTCTTCGTAAACTAATCCTTATGTCTTCTGCTAGTTCCAATTTTTATATCACCCTGTATTTTCCTCGAACTTGCTTCCATCGTTCCATCAACGCTATTTCATGATATCGACACATTCGAAATCTTCCTCGTCCAGTGCCGTGCTCGTGCTATTCCTGCACCGTTCTCACAACCCATAGATGATCTCAAATGGCAAAAACCTGTTGTATGAATGGAGTGACTATATGCCGTGACTGTCTTTGTCATCCCCACATTCGGCTCCATTCCTTTTCCATTAGATTGATTTGAAGGTGATCACTTAGCATGCTGTGCAGACATTCTATATACTCCCTCTACTCTTAGAGTGTCTTGGGGTGTTAATATTCCATGTGATCTCCAATTGTTAAATTCTTTTCTCATCTGATGCAATGCTGTCTAGTCTAGTACACCATAAAACTGAATATTATGTTTATCTTTATTCTGCATTTATAATTTGTTCTAAAGAGACACTATTTCCAGAATAATGGAAGTATTTTCATTTCATGAAACTGAAACCACCAGAGCTCCTAACACTGCTTCCGACTACTGCTCCTGGACTTGGTATGCCATCGCAGCCTTATTAAAATGATCCATCATAGTGTCCCATTTTTATCCTCTCCAAGTGAATGTGTCTATTTGTAGGTCCGTTAATGGTGACTCTGCGGTAGGTGTCTCTTCCTGTATTGCTCAGGGAGGATGTCTATGATATTTGGTGGTTAAACAAATTTTGCAGCTCCCAATGACTTTTGGTAGTTTCCTTCATACTCCACCATAAATACTTCCGTTTTAGTTCTTGCAATGTTTCTTCTATTCCTCGGTAATTAGTCTTACCTTGATGATAGGTCTACCTTCAGAGTGCATCGGACAAATGTTCTGCCGATTCCAATTCTCTTAGACCGCCATAATTGTTTAATTTTGTCCCACACCCTCACGTTCGCTATATATGTATATATATATGCTGGGTTTTACCTGACTTTGATCCCTCTTAAGTGCATGACAAATAAATTCTTGTGATTTTGTATCTCCCATACCTTTTTTATTTTTTTTTTTATTTGTTTTCCACCCTCCCATGCCACCAGGGCAACACGGGTGTATGCAGTAGTGTGATGTTAAGCATTAATGCATAATAACACACTACTGCCATAATATCAGTTTACAAAATTCTAAGCTGTGCACACAGCTAGCTCTTCTACTTTTTCCTGGCTCCTTTAGGCCTGGCTTCCCGAATCCGGAGGTCTTCCTGGGACTGGTCCTCTTCTCCTGCGTGCATCTAGGTTAAAGTGAGCTGGGCCCACCGCCGTCTTCCAGCCATTTATAAACTCTTTGAACCGCGGGAAGTTTTCTTCACTCACCAACTGAGGAAACTCCTCCTCAGTGAGGACGTAAATCCCCGTGGTTCTCATTAACCTCGCTCTTAATTCGTCGAAAGCAGTGCAGGCCGTGACCACATGCTCAACAGTCTCCGGAACACCACAATCGGGGCAGTGGGGATCTATATCCTGTCCGTAGCCATGGAGTTTAGCTCTGAAACCCCCATGTCCCGTGAGAAATTGTGAAACCCAATAGTCCGGGAGGACCCATTTCGCCTGTAACCGAGATTCAACGGTGGGAAAGTATTTTCTTAAGGTACTGCCTTTCGGAGTCGTCACCCACCGTCTGCTCCAATCTTCAATTGTTTCCTCCCGGATAATCTTTTTCCATTTATTTGGGTTTTCAATAATCCTCATCCGTAGGTTCTCCGATAGACTAGTTGAGCCCTCCTTCTTGTAGTCATACCTGGTCACTTCTTCTCGCAGGAGGAGGTCGAGAGGCACCACCCCCGCTAAGACCTGCACTGCTTCATGCGACGTAGACCTATATGCTCTGGTGACCCGAAGCAGAGCAGTTCTCTGAGTCGATGCTAGCCTATTTCTTTGTCTGAGTGTGAGGTTTCGGAACCAGAAGGGAGACGCATACCTAAGGATACCCTCCACAACACCCTTATAAATAGTGATAGTGGCTGGATACCTAAGGCCCCAAAATGCGCCCCCCACACGACTTAGACCGTTCATTGCTAGGGCCACCCTACCTGCCAGATATTCCAAATGAGGCGTCATATTGAGGCCTACACCTAACCTAACCCCTAGGTAGGTTACCACCTCACTTGGACGTATCCTCTGACCTTCTATGTACATCGTTATAGGGTGTGCCCTATCAGTCTTTCCCTTAAGGAGGATGGCTTGAGTCTTAGCAGCAGCCATCCTCATCTTCTTCCCCTCACACCATCTAGCGACTAGGCTGGCGCATCGCTCTGCTTCTCTCTTGACTCCAGCTCTGCTGTTGGAGGCCACCACAGCAGCTAGGTCGTCAACGTAAGCAGTGGCAGGAAACCGCTCCTCCTCTAACACTCCCAGTAACTCATCAAAGACGAGCTTCCATAGAGCAGGACCAAGCACCGATCCCTGAGGGCAACCTCTCTCTATGGAAGCTTCTACCTCGTAGTAATTGCCTCTAATCTTGACACTTCTATCCTGGAGATAACTTCTTACTAATGTGTATAAGTTACTAGGAGCATCATACCTCTGCAGCTGCTGGAGCACGCTAGGCCACCATACGCTGTCAAAGGCGGAGGATATATCGAAAAGAAGCAACATGACATACCGCTCCGCCCTCTCCTCAACATCTCTGCGCACTCTCAGCAGGGCATCAGCGGTTCCTCTGCCTCTGGTTGATCCATATTGCCGTGGATGACTTGCTCTAGCGAAAACAGGCCGTAAACTAGTCATCATGAGGTTCTCCAGGACCTTGCTAATCACAGGGAGGAGACATATAGGTCTATATGAATTAGGGAGTTGTTTGTCCCTATCTCCTCCCTTGTAGAGTAGTCTCAAATCAGCGATCTTCCATCTTCTTGGAAAGTATCCCATATCCAGACATTCATTGAAAATACTCAACAGCCGGTCTTCAATATACGTGATACTGTTCCTCAAGATCGCTGCATCTATTGCATCAAGTCCTGGAGCACGATTAGTCTTCTGCTTATCCACGGCAATACGAAGATCGTGAATGTCCCATGGTGGGCACAAATCTGAACCAGGTGGATATACCGTGGTGCGTCTCACAAAATCATCATTTTCGCTGTCCTGGGTTGGGTCATCTCTGGGATATATTGCTTCAATGAAAACATTGGCAGTTTCTTCAAGGGTGGTTGCCTCAGTATTATGATACCGCAAGGCTGCAATAGTCTGCATCGGGGACAACTTACCCAATGCTACCCTATACGGAATACCCCAGGGATTCTTCGAAGACTCTTCAATGATGAAATCATCCCAAGACTTCCGCTTTTGTGAGCGAACCTCGTTTCGGTATATCCTGGCTTTTGACTTGTACTCATTGCGAAGTACAGTGCGCCTCTCTTCGCATCTGCACCTCTGATATGACCGCCGGGCCTTGTAGAGGTCTCGTTTTAGAACAGTTAAGGCTGGCGTCCACCATGGGACAGGTCGAACCCTCGCCTTCCGGTGCTTGAGGGAGTGTTCGGCAGCATCACGAATGTTGTTGGTAATCCTGGACACCTTGTAGTCCAGATTGTCAACTACATCCATCTCTGCCGCTTCCCACTCCTCGTCTGCAATCACTCCTTCCAGGTAGGACCTGAAGACACTCCAGTCATTTATTTTAGTGACGAAACCCTTATCAGTACCGTGGGAACATCCTGGCTCATTTACCAGGCCAATTGCTATCGCAACGTGATCGGAACTCGTATCAGATCTGAGAGTCCAATCAGCAATATACCTCGTAAGCGCAGGCGTGGCGATCGTGACGTCAATCCAACTCTGCCCCATGCCTCCAGAGAAGGTAGGGGTGGCAGAGGGTTCGTTCATCACGACAAGGTGATTTCTGCCTATGAAATTTCCCATTTTAGCGCCTCGCCTGTCAGTAATATTGGACCCCCAGACCGTGTTCCAGGAGTTGGTATCTGAGCACATGATCACATTCCTCATCTCTCTAATGATCGCCTCCATTGCGGATATGCTTTCTTCTACATCACTATTCACAGGTAGGTATGCCGATACCAATGTGAAAGAAATCTTGCCCCACTTAACGTAGCAAGATGCATAATCCGCCATGGTGTGTTGCCTCAGATCCATCACGTCAAGGTTAGGATTATTAATCACTATTGCAGCCCTGGGCCTCCTCTCTCCACTGCTCAGGGCTATAACTCTTGACGTGAGGCCAAACCCCGTAACCCTGTTCCCACGGCAGCTAGGTTCCTGGACCGCCATGATATCGTAGCGTTGTGCCATGGCGCGAAGCTCGTCAGCCACAATATGCCGGCGGCCCATATTCAACTGCAGGATGTTGAGTCTAATCATAGTGAGTTCTCCTCACTAATTCTTGAGATCTCTTGATGTGCACTGGGCATTCTCTACTTCCTGCCTGGTGTTTAGCCTTACTTTTTTGAACACCTTCCCTCACGCAGTTAACGCATGTAGGTGCGGTCTTATTTCCTTTTGCGGGACAGTTTTTAGCAATATGCCCACTCGCCGCACACCACTTGCATACTATGCCATTTGCCTCACAAGTAGCTTTTGTATGTCCATACCCCTGACACCTTAGACAGGGAGGAGCATCGGGGTAATCTAAGATTGTCAGTGACCACCAACCTCCTGTAATTATTTCCTCCTTGAGTAGATTATATCTTACCATTGGATGTACTTCTAACACCCAATTATTGGTAATTTTATTTCTAGCCATTGATGAGAACAATGGCTTTATATTACCTAATTGGTTCTCAGAAATAACGGCCGATTTTGCAGCCAACCTTTCCCATAGCACCCTTTCTAGATTTTCCGCACTCCATGAAAGGGGAACTCCTTTTACCTCCACTTTTGGTTTTCTTTTTAAGGCTAGTTTTGCCTCCATCCCAACTTCTTTTAATTTTTGCCATTCAATTATTTTTTTAGCATGGGCACCCTCATCTACACAAACTAAAACTGAGCCAGCTTTGGTCGCCCGTACAACTCTCGCCTTGACTCCTAGTTCAGTTGGAGAAGGCAGATTGTTGATGATGTCAGCTGCACTTTTACCTTGAGAAGCGATGGTAACATAAGTTGGTCTTGTAGTATCCATCGGTTTTAATGGAAGCCCTTTAACAATATCGGCCATCGTAGTCTGATGTGTAGACCTTTTCTTGGTCAAACTTTCCTCTGATATTGGTTTAGAGGCCTCGATCTCTTTGGCCACTTGTGGAAGAGCCTTTTTCCTTCTTTGCTTTTTCTTTACTTCCTGGAAACTTTCATTCTCCGTGGTCTCAATAATAGCGTGGGCATCGGCTAATAGCGGTTGTTCTTTAACGCATGGAAACTCCCGAGATGTCTGAGGTTCTGACAGTGGTCTTTGTATGGTTTTACTTTCCGACTTGAGTCCCTCGATAACCATAGGTACTGCTTTTTCCACTAATGCATTTACTATGATATCATACATTTCAGAGGAAGCTAATGTGTCCTTTACCACACGTTGTACTAAAAACGTTTTTTCATAGTTCTTATCATATATTGTCTCCATTATATCTATTAACTGCTGCATTTTCCCATTAACGTGCTTTTGTACCTTCGCACTCACGTTCCTGTCTGTTGCGTTCATGTAGACCCTGATGTTTTCTTTGATTCTACGTGCATCTTGCAGAAGACTATCGTCTACACGTTCTTTATCTGCTTCTTCTCGGGCGTCAGGAGATCCTTTCCTTTGCCTCTTTGCTGAAGGCCTTGGGCACTTTATAGCCTGTTCTTCCACCATTTCCTGCTCCATTGCTGCTGCAATTTCATCAGCCATCTTACGCAATCCAAAATTAACAACTTTATACGTTGAAATAATGGGTGAACAACAGTAGAAGGAAATATTCAACACTCAAAATCTAACCTACGTTCGGGAAACTTATAAATTTCCTATCTTCAAAAGTAAGACTTTAATATGAACTTACCTTAGTGCTTCACCAACGTAATTGTCTCTAAACGTCCTTTTGGTTAGATTAAACCTTCGTGAAAACCACAAAGTTAACCTTAACCTCCACTGTTCACTCAAAAAGTTTATAAAATTAACTAAATAAACATAAACTAAAACTAAATCATGTTCAAAAAAAACTATAAAACACTAAAATAACACAAACAGTAGGAAACGATACAACAAAACTAACAAAACAAACTTGAAAAACACAAAACACTGAGAAGCACAATAACACTTTATCATAGGTAGATAACCTTCCACCTCGTAGTATCTCCCATACCTGTCGTACTCAACCTTTGTCGTGACCGTTGTTCTGGTTTTCCATATTATCTGACGCCATTTATTATTATTACTATTATACTTTCGCCCATCTTAGATAATCTTATGTCTGCATTTCCTCTTCCTGGATTTTCCCTTCCTCATCATCCTCTAGTGTAGGCTGTATTTCTTCTTCAGGTGTCCATTCTTGAACGAACTGCTTGATAACCCTGGATGATTCTCCTCTCTCTCTTTTGTAGCATTGACCACAATCACTGAGGACAGACTGTCAGCACCTATGTTTTCCCTTCCTGGCTTGTACACAATTTTCATATTGTATTGGCTTAGGAATTCTTTCCTCCTGATTACCCTCGCGGAAGGTTCCTTCAGTTTCCCCACCCATCGCAGGGGTCTATGGTCCGTCTGGACTCCACTAAATGCATAGTTTAAAATAAACCTCAAACAATGTATGTGGAAAAATGAATTTCATAGTAAACTTCCTTGAGTATTATACATCGACTTTTTTTTAAATTTCTAAAAGAATAAAAATATTACCATAAATTATTTATTGCAATATAGCAACTGATCATTAGGATCATAAAACCTAGTCCATTAATTACTATGTTTTATGAAAATAATTTCTGCCTATTTACCTTTTCTCCTATCAGAAAATGTATAGCTAGATATGTTTTTATTGGCCATGCTAACATACATTACATGACAATACTGCTGCATAACTTTTGCCATTATATCAGAATTTTAATATGTTTCCATTCTGTACCATTCAACAGCATATTTAATTAAACCAATTCAGTTGACTTATTTAACTAATCAAGCTATAATTAATAAAATTATCATAAAAAACATTTAATAGTTATTAACATTAAAAATTGGGAATATATCATTATTGACTGAAACTTATTCAATAAACTATTTTTATAAATAACAATATTTAATGTTTGTTTTAAATCTATTTGTAGATATTACTGCAATGTTTGTGACTGTATCGTCAAAGACTCCATAAATTTTCTTGATCATATAAATGGCAAAAAACATCAAAGAAACTTAGGTATGTCCATGAAAGTTGAAAGGTCTACTTTGGAGCAGGTTAAAAAAAGATTTGAGGCTAACAAGAGAAAATTAGAGGATAAAAAAAGAGATTATGATTTGGAACAAAGAATGAAAGAAATACAAGAAGAAGTAAGTTTTATTTGCTTTTCAATAACTATTTATTTTTTATTAATCTTACTGTTATATTGTATATATAATTGTGCTATAGCTCAGTCTCAATTAGTTTAACTTATTGCTCCATGAGTTTATCCTCGTGCTACCATCTACTTGTCTAATTGAGCTATGTCTACTTTATTTATTGAAGTCAAAAACTGTGATAAAAAATGGCCTTTTTGCCTGCTGTTTCCATTGATACATTATGATATGAGTGGTTAGTTTTATTGTAGAGTAAGCCAGTTTAGCTTTTATTTCTGAAAATAATTTTTAGAACAGATATGCATATTTTTTAAGAGTTTCATTGATGATTAAAAGAGTACTTATTCCGCAGATGGTATGGGTGAGCTAAAAGAACAGTATGTCAAAATTATAATAATAATGAAGAAATGGATAAAATGCACAAAATGTATGAGGCATTAGAATGGGTCAGTTTTGATTTTGTTCAACAAATTAATATTTTGTAAATAAACATTAATGGTACATAGATCATTAAAGTGCAAACTATGGTATAATACTAGTACTTCTAGTACTATGCAGTCTTTTGTATAATATTCATTTATCATTAAAGTATATTTACAAAACATTTGCTTTCTTGACAATTTCTTTCAAATTCATTATTTTGTTCCTTTTGCTCACTATTTAGCAAAGGAACATTTCAACTCATTCCCAGGTTCTTCTTTATTTTTTTATCGTTGTCTTCATTATTTCATTCTCTGAGTTCCTGTGTTCTGCACCATAGCAATCCTACATTTAAACATGTAGGTTTTTATAAAAAAAATTCAATGCAAGGAAGGGTGACAAATAAGTAATAAATATATATGCGTACTGTGATATAACATTCCCCAGGATTATGCAAAATCATGCAAATCTGGAATTCATGAATTTTGTCCAACAAAGACACTTGATTTTCGGTGTAAAATATTGTTGGTGGAATAAATAATTAATCTTGTTATTTCAACCTTGAAAAAATAATTTACTATTGTGTTGTTTAAGTTTTAAACAATATTTCTTATGATTTTGCTAGACTTGAAATAAACATAGGAAATAAAACGTATCAACGTGACTGCTATCATCATCTAGTGTAAGCTGTGAGTTATTCCATGGTTTATTTTTTGTTCCTCGTGTAAACTGTGAGTTATTCCATTGTTTATTTTTGTTCCTCGTGTAAGCTGTGAGTTATTTCATCGTTTATTTTTATTCCATTAGTGTGAATTTCGTCAAATTATGGATGTCATTACATTCTGGAAATTACCGTCTTCAGAAGAAGAGACTATAGAATATTTTCAAAACGCCGAGATAATTCCAAACTTGAAATTGTGTGAAGATCATCAAATGAAGTTAGACAGGAAGGCGAAATGGAGATGCTTTCGTACCACTTATAACAAAAACATTCCTGTAAGGAAAGGAACGTGGTTAGAGGGGTCAAAGATTTTTTTTTAACAGCTTTAAAATTCATTTATGGGTGGTCCCATAATTTAACAACAATACAGTTGGGCAAAGAGCAGCTGAAACTATCCAAGGAAACTATGGTAAGGTGGAACAAATGTTTAAGAGAGGTTTGTGTCCATATCATGTTATACAGGTCAAGTAAAAAAAAAACTGGAGGGCCTGGCAAAGTCGTTGAAGTAGACAAGAGTCTTTTTTCTAAAAGAAAAAATCATGTAGGGAGAGTTCTACCTAAGCTATGGATGTTAGGTGGAGTTTTCTGAGAAAGAGACGAGTGTTTTATCATCAAAATAAACGACAGAAAGGCAACAACTTTATTACAAGGTATTAAAAACAATATACAAGAGGAAAGCACCATTTATTCTGACTGTTGGAAAGGATACAACACCTGACAACTGAATGAAGCAAACTATAACCATTTTCAGGTGAATCACCAGTATAATTTTGTTGATCCATCAAATGGGGTCCATACTCAACATATACAATGATTATGGGGCTCGGCTAAGTGGAGAAATAAAAAAACATAGAGGAACTGCCAGACAACACCTCGACTCATATATATGTGAATTTTTGTGGTGGCGGGCTCATAGGGAAGAGGAGCCTTTCCTCACTATTTTAAATAGCATTAAACTATTTTGTCTACCAAAATAAATTAAGTGAAAATAAAATTGTTTTATATGTACATATTTTGTTTATAGTGTTCATATTGTTTCTTTTATATGTACATATGTTGTTTAAGTGGTTTTTATTATTTCATTTTTTTTATTATTACATTTGTTTTTGTCTATTTCATATATGTGTTGTAAAATTAAAGTGTTTTGTTATTGTTGTAGGAATTATTACATTTCTTTTGGTCTATTTCAATTTCAAATCAAACTGTTTTGTTATTATTACGTTGGTTTTCGTCTATTTAATATGTTGTAAAATAAAAGTATTTTTTATTATTATATTTGTTTTTGTTTAATTCAATAATATGAATATAATACAATAAATATGAATATGAAGATAGGAATTATCAGTGGTTAGGTTATAAACATTGGCAGATAGCAGACAGTCCCACATGGCTATTTAAGAAATAATTTAAATGATTTACTTGTGTATAAATAATCTACATACAATTATTTATATTTGTAAATTTAAATTAAGTTTTGCTTACAAATTGTAACAAATAACATCATATTTATTATGTTTATTTATTTTGATGTTCAACTAGCTTGTTTTGATCCTGATTTACCACTTATATTTCAAAGTAGTAAGTAATTTTTGAACTAGTTATAATTGAAAGGTAACAGGTAGGTGTCAATAAATTTTAAGTATTCATAGGCCTTTGTTCTAATTTGTAAACGTCACTCATATTCATACATTCCTGCTAAAATTAGTTTTGTTCTGACTGATAGAAAATGTTGGTTTCATTAACACTGTTAAAAATGAAAAATTGAATTTTTGTTCTATTCATCCTATGAGTAAAAAAATACATATTAAGTACATATGCACTCCCTAAGATATTTTTTAATGGAAAACTATAGACCTTTAAATATAGGTAATTCTGTAAATAACAAAAATGGTGACTGACCTTACTTGGCAGTCATTTTTTTTTTTCATTTTATCTCTTGCTTAATTTATATTAGAATGAATGTTTTAATTATAATTCTTTTATCTTTTTTTTTTTAGGAAGAGAAACTTAAAGAATACCGACGAGAAAGAAAGAAAGAAAAAAAAAGAAAACTAGAAGAAGATGAAGATGATAGAGAACCTTCTTCAGCATTAGCTTCTGTTATGGGATTTTCAGGGTTTGGAAGTTCAAAAAAAAAGTGAAATTATCATTAGATGTGTGATACTTAATAGTTTCTTAAAAGCTCTTTTTATAGTGTAATTGATTTTGTAAATATATAAACATGCAAATATATATTATATATAAAATATTAAGGTTGTGTGATTGTTTAGTTTTATTTAAAAACTTGAGAGTTAAAAAAAATAATTATTTTTTTTTTTTTATCATGGAGATAATTTTCAAAAGGATTCCTTTTATTCTGTGGTACAGATCCCTTTTTATAAAATTATTAACATCCACCTAAAACTAAGTAAATAGCTTCACCTGATCGTAATCTACAAATATTGTATTTACAATAACTCATGGAATTGAGGCGTTTTTAATCTGGAGATCGGCAAACTGTGTTTATTTAATTAGGTACTATAAACTCATGAATACCCATTTGCTTCCCACTTAAATCATAAAACAATATGAACACAGCCGAAAAAAAAGTTGACCTACAAAAATATTGGTCTGTTTAGTGTGACTTCCACCCCAAAAAAGTTAAAATAACGAGATTAAATAGGCCAAATCCTCCAATATTTTTGTGGGGCACCTTTTTTTACAATTTTGTGATCATATCTTAAAATTCAAGTGTACAGCAAATGATTATTCATGAGTTTTTATTACCTAATTTAATAGACAAAGTTTGCTGATCTCCATATGGAAAACGCTCTAATGATAATTTAGGTTAATAATGATAAGGCTTAGCGAACCTGAAGGTTCGATGTCGATAACACTAATCTATGTCCACATTCTTACATCCACTGGGTTTCCTCTAAACCCAACTCCGCCAAATCAGCCTTAACACAATCTTCCGACCTTCACTTAGGCCTAGCCCTCGGATGCTTGCCAGTCGGTACAGTATATATTAACTTTTTAGGAATTCTTTCGTTACCAAGCCCAGCGATTTTACATGCCCATTTTATTCACCTTAACTTAATTATCTCAGTTATATTAACCGGATACAGTTTAGGCAATTCATTGTTGTGTTACTGTCTCAATTCTCTGGTTGTCTTCTGCTTTTTCGGTCCGAATATTCTGTGCAATACTTTATTTTCAAAAGCCTTGAGACGTTGCTCATCCCTTAATGTAAGCAGCCACATTTCGCATCCCCTCGATTTTTTTGTGATCCCCTCCTTCATTAGAATATTATACAGTTTCTGGCGGACAACAGAATCGTATGCCTTTATGAAATCGACATACAACTGATAAACAACTCCATTGTACTCTAATATCTGTTGTAAAGAAAAGGTTTGATCAATAGTCAAACGGTTCCGCCTAAACTCACATTGGAGTTTCCGATAATTTCCTCGGGGTTTCTCATGATTCGATTAATGTGAATATTTTATAACATACCGGAGGAAGTGAAATTTGTCGATAGTTATTACGATCCGTCCTCGGACCCTTTTTGTGAATCGGAATAAGAATGGATTCTTCCTATTCTTCAGACAATTTCTCGTTCTCCCATATTTTTTTAACTAAAAAATGTATTTTATAAACTCCAGTTTCCCTACATGCCTTAATTAGTTCACTAGGAATATCATCGATCCCCGCTGCTTTATAAGATTTTGAGTCTCCAATAGCTATTTTAACTTCCTCCTTACTTGGTTCTTCTATTAACGGTTTGGCACTCTGTTACTCAGAAGGAGGACACAGATCATAATTTCTCGTATTTAAAATATTGTCAAAGTGTTTCTTAAACTTACTCAATATGTCTACCGAGTCAGTGAGGATATTGTTATTTTCATCCCTAATTCCAATCTTTACGGGTCCTTAACATTTACGTGATTTGGTTATTTATACCTTTGTAAATGTCTGCTACTTTGTTCCCGATTCTATGATTTTCTATATCTATTATTTTATTTTTGAACAATTTATTAGTTTTATTCTTTAAGGCTCGCCAGTATTCAAGATTGTTTTCACTAGGATTATTTAGAGCTTTTATTTTTTCGCATATGTTTAAGCAATCTTCATCAAACCACAGTTTATTTTATTTTCCAAACCCAAGTTACCGACTTCTTTAGTATTATCCCTGCTTCCTACCCATAACTAGTCTTTATCATTGCTGTCCTCTTCAGAAGGTTCTAAAGCTTCAAATTATTCTTAACTTCAAGCTCGAATTGAGTTCTAATTAATGGATTTTTTAATTTTTCCAAATTAAAATTCTTGGAATCGAAACGGTTTTCTTTACTCCTTTTTATATTAAGTTTTTGTTGAAGTTTCGCGATTACTAATTCATGATCTGATCCACATTCTGCACCGCGATAAGACCTTACATCAATTATACTATTTTGCCACCTATGTTGTATGAAGATGTGATCGATTTGATTTTATGTTAGCGAATCCAGTGATGTCCAAGTTTATTTGTGAATATCCTTATGTTTGAACGTCGTACTTTTAATTATCAGGTTTTTCGTTTGGCAAAATTTATTAGCTGAATTCCATTATCATTACTATAGTCGTGTAAACTTTCTTTTCTGATCATTGGAAAACAAACTTCTTCTCTTCCCACCTTTGTGTTAGCGTCCCCTAAAATTATTTTCATGCAGCTTCACAGTAGTTTACCATGAACCCGCTCCAGTTTATCATAAAATTCACATTTGGCTTTGTCATCACTTTCTTCGGTCGACCAACGGAACAGTGTATGTTTATCAACACAATTTTAAACCAATCCTTAAAAAATCCTATCGCTAAAGAATTGTTATGTCCCTCAAAGCGGATAGAAATATATTCCTAATAAGAAAACTGATACGTAAACAATGATTTCTGCTTTCTCCGTAACAAAAAGTGTACTTACCTTCCATTATGGATCCCTCTCCTGGCCAATGAACCTCTTACAATGCCATATCTAAATTGTACCCATTAACCTCATTTGTGACCGATTTTAACCCTCCTGCTGTATTCAAGATCCTTACATTTCACGTCATTATACTTAAATCTCTAGTTTTCAACTTGTGCCATGAATCTCCTAAAGCAGTCTCCACCCAGAGACTGGAATGGGAGACTAATTTCCTTCCGGATCCATGACTGGTATTGGTGAACTATAGATATGTGAATAGGGCATTTAATCCTAAGTTGCACCCTCCAGCAAGTCCATCTGACCTAGCCGTGATGAACTTCTGAAGAATTTCCTCCGACCATCCCCACATCCGCCACCCGTGGGATGCTCCCCTACGTGATGAGCATGCGCAAGGAATTGTTTTAGATTATGGATAAATAATTGTACTGTACAGTTTTGTTACATTTTACTCTTTTTCTGACCCCTGAAATAATAGCAAATCGATAAAAAGAAAGGTAGCCGCAAGGCACAAATATCACTGAACCCGCTTATGTCTTCTACAAAGTCTTACTCATTAAATCCACAATACCCTTTCCAATACTCCCGAATCAAAATTCAAATATTTTGTTAATTAAAGTAACCAATAACCTCAGTTGCTTCACTTCATCATTATTTCAATCCAAGAGACTTCTTTTTCTCACATATGTCTTATAAGGAAATATTCACCACTATCCCAAAATTTCATTTCTATGATTGTGGTCTTGAAAATATTCAAGTGTAACAAATAAAACCCAGTTTTCCTGTCCTTTTTAGTATCCATGTATCTTTTCAGAACTCCATAATGCCATCTTCTAGGAAACCTGCCCAACTCAGAACTTTAAATTAAATTTCAAACCCTTATCCACATCATAACTCCAGTCTTATTTTCCTCCTATCCAGCTTTTCAAGACTGCTGGAATCTATTGTACAAATTTAACTTTCCAACTTCCTAGAGTGACCTTCCCTCATTAACCCTCTCCAGTCTGGCTACTCAGCCCTATCTGCTCTTCTAAAAATAATCCATGATCTGCAAAAATTAACCGTCCTTATTCCTCAAGATTTTTCCTAAGTATTTGACACAGTTAATTATATCCTCCTTATCTAACTGCTAAGTCTCCCTATAATCTAACAGTGCCTTGTGCTGGTTCAAATCCTTCCTCTCAAATTCTTGTATGAAACGTCTCATGGGTGAAAGAGCAGTGGTGGCCTCAGATATTAAGTATCCCAGGGCTATTAGGTCACCAGTGTCCCATCCACCTTTTTCTTCACAGGAATAAAATGTTTTTTAGGTGGAATAAGACATATGTGAATACCATTGTATATAACATTATTCTTGTATAAAAAATTAAACTGCAAGGCCCTTTTAAAAAAAGTGATAAGGGTTTATTTTGGAGAAAAATGGTGCATGATTTGGAGGGTAATAAAAATTAACTTTTTGTACACAATAAAATAAATTAGTTTTCATTGAAGAAAAAAAACAGTAACTCCTGATTTATATTATTTTTTATTGAGAATACTGAATAAATGAAAGTTTCATTACATTCCTTAAAAAAAGAGTTACGGAAAGTTTTGAAGTTTTTCACTACTTTATAAAATAAAATCTGGTGTAACACACAACTATCACTTACCGCTCTACTTTGAATAGAAATTATTTTCTGGCAATGCTGGGCTATTATAAAATTTTAAACTGAGCTAAAGCTTAAAGCTTACAGAGAACAAGTCATTAAGACCATTAAAATTACAAAATGTCTATTTAATATATCGACGGTAGGTAATAAAAATCTTGTCACTCCATCTGCTTTTATAAACCACAGAATGATAAACTCCAATTTCAACATTTTTGAGTGATGTCATTTTAGTTGAAAAAGTTATCTATGCAGACAATGAGTAAGTTGATTCCAGAGGTGGTGATTGCAGTGTTGAAATATAGAACTGAGAATAAAGATATAAATTTAGATACTTGAAAAATGTTCTGAGATAAGATACTTCATTAAATATCTGTAGAAAAAGTTTTTTTAGTCTCATCAATTAAAACAGTATATTTTAAATTTATTCAAATCTTCGCCTCTTCAGGAGAAAAAACTAGAGACCACATCTTTCCTCCTAATTGTCCGATTTTTTTTGTTTTTTTAGGAAATTCCATAAACTTTAAAAAATCATATACAATATCCACAAAAAAGTGTATACTTTTTGAGTTACTCGGAATTTAATTTTACCATCCCTCATAACTTTTTTTCCAGCTTCTTTCCATTGAAGTATGTTATATAGATAAATTTAAAGGCTGTCGAGAAAATGACTTTAGCGAAGTTTCATTGAAATCGGTACATTCGTTTAGGCGCTACGCAGGTTACGTTTAGAACGCAGGTTTTTCTGCATTTTCATTTTTTTTCTCCCTTATTAATTTATCAAATTCTTTCAAAAGTTATATGTAGCATTTTTTCGTAACTCTGAATAATGCGAAATGGTTAACTTTTTAAAATAAACCATATTAAAGGTACTTAAGAGGTAGACATATATGAATGATGGGCATTTAAGCCATGTAAAGTGACATCAACGGGGATAAGACCTAAATGATATTAAAGACCACTTAATTAAACAATGATACACAGAGTTTAATCAAAATCGTTAGCCGTTTTTGAGAAAATTGTAAAAATGTGTTTCAGCGTTCATATAAAGTGGTACTTCCGGTTAGATGATTATAACAAAAAAGTTACTGTCACATCCGGCTCATATACAAACCTGAAATATTTAATATCAGTTTCATACTACTTTTCGTTTATGAGCTAGACTGTTAACACATACACACAGACCATTTTGCGACACTTGGTTATTTGGACTCAGGGGACCTCAAAACATGAATTTCTGTTAAAAACTGAGATTCGAAAAGTTTTCATGATCACAATACTTACCCTTAGTATACATTACATATATACGTAAGTGAAAGTAAAAATATGCACCATGGATTCATCAAGTGTTTTCGCAATGGAATTGATACTTTAAATTTCCATAAATATTGAGCAGGAACTACATTGAGAAATGTATAAGTATGGTTTCAGTTGATAATAAATCAATAATGTATACAAAATAATCAACATTTATATTTGACACACTCTCATCAATATGAATATACATATTGATTATATAGAAATTTATTACACAGAGGTGATAAATAAAAATGAAAAAAAAATTATAAAAGCTGTTTTATTTTTTTAGTTTAACAGAAAAAGAGATTTAAGAAGAAATCTTCTTAGGGGTAGGTCTTCCTCCTTCACGGAATCCATTCCTAAAAAAATAAAGAAATAAACAGATAAAAATAATTCTCAACCAATAATTAATACATAATAGGAAATGTTGGAAAGTTTTATTTATTATATTCAGTAATATTCCAAAAAATATATATAGCATATAAAAAAATCTTATTACTTATTACTCTATTTAAATAATTAAATATGATATTACATCGAAAAATTTTGAACGAATATCCCGGTGTTGGTTCCAATGGGTTCCAGGCAACGGAAAAAATATATTTTATTTATATAATTTTAAACAAAATTGTGTTATTTATTTTTACCTTCGTTTTGCCCAAATTTTCAGGGAGTATTATATATTAACCGATTACTAAATGGGCTTTTAAGATAACAGACTTAGGGACAACAAAAAAATTTGTACACCCGACTTATTGTACACCAGATCCTGTTTCACTCCTACAGCATTTAAATATTACATATTGTATCACATGCTCTAGTCCAGATTACAATTCTTCCTAGATAGGAGAAACTAAAAATTATCTTAACAAACAAATTTACCAGCACAAATACACCATATCTCCACAAGCAATCAGTTCGCTTTGAAACTAGCAGAGCATGCCTTAAGCCTTGACCTTCGATTTTGATAACCCATCTATTCTTGCCAGTTTCCAACCACCAAAAATTACTGAATCTATATATGAACTTGGAAAAAAATAAAATAATCCAGTGAACCATAAAGTAGATTAGGAACAGATCTGTAATATATATTCTAATGTTTTCCGCCTTCTTAAACAATAACCTAATTTTTCATTTTTCCCGCTTTCTGTATAAACGCAACTATTCTTGTGTATGTATATTAATATTTTAAGAGATTAGTTATTTTTTATTTCTGGAGAAACTTCTCTTCTCTGAAGACATAGCAAGAGGTTTTATCACCACAGTATAGTTACTTAACGATGATTTATGAGTGCTTGCTTGCATGCTTACAACAGTATTTTCTGCTTAGATTTTAAATGTTTCTTTACTGATGGTATATTATCATTCCTTGACAATAAGGAAAATTACCTTTCACAGCCTTTACAACAAAGGACAGGAACAGCATTACACATTGCCGATTTTAAAATAACAATCACCCACCCATATCATGTCGATGTAGAGGTACAACCAAACTTTATACTTAACAGAGTGAGAAGGTAGAGGCTCATTTCATGGGTTTGTCACAAAATAAATTGCAATCCGCCCAGGCTGGTTTCGAACCGCCGCTACTAGACTCAAGAATATTAAAACACATTAACAAGCTCTGACACAACTTTTTACTTGTATCTGACCAGACTGAGAATAGGCCATACCAATCTAACCCATTTACATCTTATTAATAATTAGCCACCACTACAATAGTACACTTTAAGTTAGCCATATTTTTAAGACCGTTCTTTTTATACAACAAACTTAACTAGTTCAGGAGTCATAGCCCAATATCAAACATTCTAAAAATTGACGAAGATTCAGTAAAGTTAGTATTACATTTCTTAAAAATTAAAAACTGGTCAAAAAAAATAAACCTAGTTCAGCGATTAACAAAATTTAACACAGGCATTGATGACCTCGAAGTTTTATACCTTAAAACCCCAACTAACAACAATTTTTATCTGTCTCAGAAATTGACACATGAAAGAATTTTTGGACGATATGTATTTAAAGTCAGTTATTATTGACTTACATTAAACTCCTACTACAGATAGATAGAAGTTTCTCCATTGTCAAGATGCGATAATATGGAATATTGCTCACTCAAAGAGTTTTATGCTTTCTTTCATTCATTTTAAATAAATTACTCACAAGGACATGAAAATGCAGATTAATTAATATGTGGTAAGGAGCCCGTTTTTTATACTTAATGGTGAGCGACTCTCAAAAAAGAAAAAAAAAATTCATCTTTTCATCAAAAGGGGGAGGTTTTAACAGCTTGGTTAAATAAGAATGTACTGTACGTACTTAACTAGTAAAAATTCATTAAAAAATAAATCTCACCTGAATCTCCTTCGTACAACTTTTAGGTAACGCATCCTACCAGTTCCAGTTGTCTTCCTTCTCTGGCCCTTCACACTCCAGTTATCTACAAAAATAAATTCAAATGTTTAATTCATGCTTCAACATATTAAGATATCTAAATTTTTAGTTTAGCTGTGGTAAAGACGCTCTACAACTATTATATTGCTTTGATTTGTTTTTTCTTTTAAATAAAGCAGTAAGAGAACACTAAAGCAGAAAGACAGTTTCAAAACAAGCAAGCTAGGTTTAATAAGTTAATTAGTTCTAACCTCAATTATAGAGAAAAACAAATCTGGTGTATTAACTCACACAACTATCCAACCAATTTTAGACAAATTTTAATACGCTCATTAAAAACACATAAAAATATAAAATTAGAATAATTTTCCAGAAAACTAATCAGAGAAATGACTAAATTACTTTCATGAACTAAAGCAATGTAAATAAATGAATGTTGTACATAGACGTGAATTGACAGAGATCACACTTGACCATCATGTTTTCCCCTTAAATAATTGAGAGTATCTACTTTATAGACGTCAGGAGTTTCCTAGGGTCAATTCACGGCCAATGAAAAAAAAATTAACAATTTGTCAAGTCAGATTTGAACCAAGATATTAAGTTTTTGAAGTCAGTACCTAAGGCCCTGAGCTACCAGACTCCCATACTACAGACATGGCAACAAATTCATCCCTTGATGACTATGATGTATTAACATTTTTTCAATCTCATTGCCAGTATCAATCATAATTCTTAATAATACAGCCCAACTGACTAAACTAAATCATATAAAATATTGTAACAATTTAGAAATAAATTAGAAAAAACATATAAAAAAGTTTTGAAATTATTTGAGTAAAGAATTTAATTATGTTCGCAACTGCTGTAAAAAGCTTAGATTAATACTTATCAACAGATAATCTAAGAGGTGGGTTATTTTTAAAATATAGAAGTATCAAGAAAACCATTTCTCTAGTAATAAAAAATTGCCATCCAATATGAGAAATCAACAAATTAAGCTAAGCAAAGAGCAAACAAATCAACTCTTAGCGTTAGAATACCTTCCAGCCTAAACCAAAGAATTTTTCTTTTCTCCATTGCCAAAACTGAATTATAATGGTACCAACAAATATTATCAATACATACTATGGATAAAATATCACTTAATAATGATGAACCTTGTATCATGAAATAAAACAGCAGAGGACAATACGTTGAAAATAATCATTATGGTAGGATGGATTACTACCATTAATTGATTAACAGAATAATGTTAAAAGACTGTTCCAATAAGTTTGTCACTATTAACTTTTAAATCTTTGAAAGTTATTACTTAAATTAAACTTCCAGTAAACTTTAACAAAAACACTGCTTACATATTAAATTAAGAGACTAGCCTATAATAACACATCTCTTAATCAAATGCATACTGACTTGGTTTTATTTACATCAGACAAAACATGTACACAAAAATCTACCACTCGAATAAAATCAATTGTCTCTTCCTTATATTAATGTTAAGAATCTCCTAAACAGCTTATTAATGTACACAAACTTTCATTTGTATCTAAATACAAATTTACAATCGTTGCCATTTAGGTAACAACTGTTTAATGATGGATCCTCCACAGATTGTTTAAATAAACAGGTAATAATATTTTAATGACCAATAAAAACAATATAAATAAAATCATATAAATCCATAGAGCACTCACAGTGTCGAAGTTTGGCACTTGGATATCCACACTGGGCGCATCGGGACTTCTGGATGTGATAGGATGACCTTCCACACCTCCTACATAAGGTGTGAGTCTTATTCCTCCGCTTACCAAAACTTGAAGTACCTTTAGTCTAAATCAAACAAAAATATATTAATACCAAAAAACTAATGCTAAATAAAAAAATCAATTCAAAACATACTAAAATTAATATGTCTTAAACTTTTATAGGGATAATTGGTTGCGTATAGAACAGACATCAGTTTAATGCAAAAATCATTAAGTATACAAGGGTATTAAGAATTGGAGCTAATTACTAAGCACTTCTTAGTATATATTAGTGGATTTTCATACGAAAAAAAACTAAAGAGAACTCATCAAATGCCTCAAATAACACTAATCTTATAAAATGTTAAATATTGACACACTAACTGAACAGTCTTCATTTTACAAAGAAAAATTCATTAATTACTAAGTGATTGATTTTTTTAAAATATGTTAACTACTTCTTACAGTTAAAGGGACAATAAAACATATTAAAAGAAACAAAACCAATAAAAAAACAATGTCAACAAAATAATAATCTAAATTAGATTATCGAAAATAATCTTAAAAGAAGATATTTTCATACACTAAATATCTTATAAAATAATGTTATAATATAATTCTTTTAGTGCGATAGAAATTAACCTAGATTTCCACATAAACGTGGTTAAGTATTTAGGATACAAGCGCAAACGCTAATCCTCTACATGATTTAGCAATCATGCTTATTATTGTTACCAATGAATAACTCTATAATATTAAAAACATTGGGGTGTAACAAATGATTACAAAAATAATCTAGGATATATATATTCGCGAACTTACCATTTTCCAAATGAACAAGGAACTCACAACCCACAGCAATCTAAATAGTGAATTCACAAAGCTATATACTGCACAAGTGTCTGTATACTACGCTCCTATTTCAACTAATAAATCCTGTGGTTTAATTTTATTTTTATTTCGTTACATTTAAAAACACTTTAGATTATTCTAAATTATTATAAAATAAATTATTATAAATATATCTTTTAATTATTTGTTTGTGATTACAGGATTATTTATATTGGTTTTTTTAGGCAGTTCTTTTCTGAATAGAAGGGAGGTTATAATGTCAAGCTCTCTTGTTATTGAGCATGTATTTCATAGTTCATTCAAAATCCATTTTATACTATTTTAGTTTTAAAATAAAATTGATAAACTAGGGAGCATATTTTTCAACGATTTAAACCGAAAATGACGGATAAATCTCAAGAAGTATCAAATTCCGTTATTAATTTCAACTCGGAAAATGACTTTAATATTCTTTCAAGATATTTTTTAGAAAATGTACATAGGTATCGCGAAAATATTGTAGTTCCGAAAAATCTTGGACCAGTTGCCATTAAGACTAATGAAGAAAAGTTAGTTGAACGATTTTTTGAAAGTTGTGGTTTTAAAAGTATAATGAGTTGTGTAATTGGCTATGGCTTAGGAGCAGCTTTAGGTTTGTTTACATCCAGTGTTAATCCCTCAGTTGGACCAGATGCACACAAACAGACAGCCAGAGAAATCTTCAGAGAAATGAAGACCACTACATTGAGTTATGCTAAAAATTTTGCTATGGTTGGTGGAGTGTTTTCTGCTGTAGAGTGTGTTATTGAATCCCATCGAGGAAAAACTGATTGGAGAAATGGAACCTATGCAGGCGGTGTTACAGGTGGACTGATAGGTCTCAGAGCTGGGGTTAAAGCAGGTGTTTTTGGTGCAATAGGCTTTGCTGCCTTTTCTACTGTTATTGATTATTATATGCGGGGACATTAACCCAGCTCATTTATATTTACGTTAGTGAAGTTAGCATAAAGTAGGAAGCAGTACATTTTTATGTTATTTAACAATTATATTTTTTCTCATGACTGTATCTTACTTTTGAACTTCAAGAATTATTTGATATGTATTTTTCAACAATGAATTGATTACAATGTACAAATATAAGTTAATCTACTTGTATTTCCTTAGTTTCATCCTTTTATACAGTAATATATATGTGGGGAACCTTTTTATCATTAGTGGGCACATTAAGGTATTTATAAGTATATACTTACACACATCCTTATTCATATATTTTACTTAACTTTCAAATTTTTGTAACCTAAATAATTAATTTAACCACTAGATTAATGAAGACCATGTAAAAACTAACTGATGCCATTGCTAGTTCATGTTGGCCATAGGTTTCCTACTTGTACTGTAGTATATATATTCATTAACTGTGTAACCATTATTGAGGTAGTGCGGTTTTTAACAGGGTCTTAACAATTTGACAGGAGAATTTCATCTCAAATTTTTTTATTTTATATAGTCATTGATAAGATTTACATGATATGAGTTTTTGATTCTTATTACCTCGTAGGAACATAACTTAAAATTGGAATGGGATCTGCAATATAAGAAAAATGTTCTAAATGAAGTCTAAGTAAAACATATGTTAAAAAAAATGCTCTTGTAACTTTTACCGAATTGCAAGGAAATGTCTTATGCAGTTTTTTGTGAAAATTCTTAAGCACTTTTTTAACCATAACTTATTATTATTATTATTTAAGGGATATATGAGCCTTTCAGTTGACAGAATGATTAACTCCTATAATCAGCATTTTTGAGTAATCGTAGTGATATTTGTAATTGGAAATTTTAAAATTTGTACAGACAGTGAGTAAGTTGTTTCCAAAGTTGGAGATTACAGTGTTGAAGTATAGTTCACATATAAGTCCACTAGAAACATCACTAAAATAATAATAAAAAAATGTTGAAATTGGAGTTCTGTCAACTGAAAGGCTCTTATAGTGGTTTAATTAAAATGGTGGAATGGGTTAGTTGGAATAAACATGGTTTCAAGAGACCCACTGACTATTACTCTGTACCATTTACATTTGGAGAAATTTTCACCAAAAAATTAGTTACTTAGCCTCTCATAATAAATAATTGATAGTGTTGGATTAATTTTTTTTTCTTCAATACAAAGTAAAATTTTAAAAATATTTATTAATGTATCTCGTAAGGATTAATCTATTACAAACAGTATCTATATGATCAAAAGAAAATTTAAATTAAATACTTCATGGTTGAATGTTGTATATTTTAGAGTAAGATGGTCTGAGGTGGCGGTCATAAATGAGACTAAAATAGTGGAAAAACTATTTTATTTCAAGCCAACGTCTCGATCCAACTTTGCAGTTCATCTTCAGGGGGGGTTCGTTCAGCAAGGAGTTTCAGTTAAAACTAGTTCTAATAGATATTAGTACATTTTCTCTCTGACTAATGCCTCCCAGTGTTGGTCAAGCATTAGGCCCTGCAAGAACAAGATCTTGATTTATTATTCAGCTCATTTATGAATTTTCCTTCATACCTCCTTATATAATTCCAGTTGATCTACTTGGCTTATTTATCAGACTTTGATAGAATTTAATTCTAATACATGTAACATTGTGCCCTTACCATTTTTTTTGTTATTTTCATTTTATTTTAGGGTTGTACAGATTAACAATTCATAAGTAATTTTTATTTTTAACATTAATAATTTTTTAGTAACATTAAAAAGTTCCAGAACCAGAAATAAATGTATCTGGTGCAATGTGTGCATCACACCACAAATTTCACTCTCCACCCTACTAAAATAAGTATTCTATATATATATATATATATATATATATATATATATATATATATATATATATATAAAAATCGGTCAAGCAGTCTTGGAGAAAATGAGCGGACAGCCGATAAACCCTGGTTCAAGAATGGCTTTTACCATATACTTTTTAAAGGGCGGTGTATTTATATATATATATATATATATATATATTAAAGTATATGGTAAAAGCCATTCTTGAACCAGGGTTTGTCGGCTGTCCCCTCATTTTCTCCAAGACTGCTTGACCGATTTTTTTCAATTTTGGAATAAAAGGCAGAGGTCCACTGAGGATGATCCTTTTACCTCGACATTCGAAAACGACATATATATATATATATATATATATATATACATATACATCCTCGGTGGACCTCTGCCTTTGATTCCAAAATTGAAAAAAATCGGTCAAGCAGTCTTGGAGAAAATGAGCGGACGGCGGACAAACTCTGGTTCAAGAATGGCTTTTACCATGTATTTTTTTAAAGGGCGGGGTGGTCGAAGGGGCTAACGCGTGTGCACTGCACCGCGAGTTGCTGGCAACCAGATAACGGAAGTATATGAGAGATTAAATAGTACGAGTTCGCGTCCTGATGCCGGAAAGGATTTTAAATTCCTGGTCCGAGAAAACCCCATATAGCCTAAAAGGCGAGGAAGGGAAGAACAAAATGTTTTTATTCACTTTTCGAGTTCTACGTGTAATAAAACGTATCATATCACATTTTGAGGAAGGTTAAGTTTTTGAATTTGTTGATCGATTACAACGGTTCGTTATTATAAATAATAAACCAAAAATATTTACAAAGTCGATATCTTTACGATCACGATATTAGTGCTCTGATTTCGATGAACCTTTTTCTTTTTTTAGGAAACTTAAATAACTATGAATTATTTGATTGTAAAAATCACAAACAATTGTATACTTTTTGAGTTGTTTGCAAATCTAATTTTACGACCCCTCGTAAATTTTTCCTAGCTTCTTTTCATTGAAGTATGTTCTATACATATATTTAAAGGGCATGATGGAGAAGACTTTAGCCAAGTTTCATTAAAATCGGTACATTTGTTTCAGCGTCTACTGCAGGTTTTTCAGCCGCCATCTTGAAATGAAACGGCGGATAGTCATGTTGAGATAGGTAGATCATCCTCGGGGTACCTCTGACTTTGATTCCAAATTTGAAAATTATCGGTCTTGGAGAAAATGCGCGAATGGCGGAGGGACATTTTTTTTCTTTTTTCAATCCAATGAAAGTTATAAATGTCATCTTATTATTAATTGACTTGAAATATAACTACTTTTATGTTTGTGCCCCATTTCATAACATCCTTTATCTTTGATTTCTCTGAATCTTCCCTTCCTAATTTCAGCGATGAGCCTCCACTTTCAAGAGTTTTATCAATAATATTAGTCTCATTGACAGCTACAGGTTCTAGACTAAGAGCTTTCGACTATTTCATTCAAGTGAAGGACTTAAATCTAGTAACTATTTAAAATCTAGATAAACCTCATCTGAACAAATAACTTCGATCAGTCCGTTGAAAGTCGTTGCTTCCTACACGAAAATTTAAATTAAAGAAGCGAAATTTGATGGTTCATTTAGCGGAAGAACAGAAGGCTGAAATTCAGTCATTAAATTATTAAAGTTGGATGAGGAAATAAATTCACATAGTCGGTTTCTCTTTGGTTTTTGGGAAGCTGAATCTGTATTGGAAGTTGACTGGGTGGCAAAGCCGTAACCTCTGCCTTTTCTTGCTGGAGATAATTTTACAACAGCCGAGCAACATGAGCTCGGGCATTGTCATACAATAATATCAATTTGCCCCCGATATTCCTGGCAACAGCTATCACATGTAGCTCTACCATCTCCCTTTTGTACTACAAAGCCGTCAAGGATCCCCTGTCCCCAAGAATCAAGTCCATAGTGGAGTTTAAATTTACGCCTGTCACTGAACCACCTCTCAGTGCAACTATAGGAGAAAAATTACAAGGAGCGCACCTCTCTCTCGTGTCTATCTGGGGACTTTTGCTTAATCTGGACACATTAGTGATCAAAACACAGCTCCAGTCTTCTTGAATCAAGTTTAGGTGTTCCTTGGCAAAACTCAAGCGCTGAATTCGGTGCTCTCTGTAAAAAGACGGTTACAGTTCCTAGAGAATGGGGCACCAATTCATAATCGTTAAGTCTTCTCCCTGTACGCTCTGAAATTTTATATTCCTGAACCGCTGAGAGAGACAACGCTGGCTGGTTTCTGTAGGATGACGATCTTGATGAACGTCAAGTTATAAGGATGCATGAAATTCGCATAAGTGAAAAGGACAGGTACATGATGGGTATTTAGACTTGAAAAGGGCTCAACGAGCCGAAACGTCGTAATTAGATATGATGTCTTTAAGTTGAAAATTTTTTAAAAAATAGTGTAAAATTGTCTTTGAAAATAAATAGTATGTGACGAAGAAGAAGTTGAGAAATATTGTGGATATCTTAGTAGTCTTTTCACGGCTTCATAACTTATCCCACTCCGGATTTGTGCTTCTTAGCACATCACTGCCCTACTAACAGAATTAAATTCTTGCAACTTTTTGGATAGAGCTATGTCTTTGTTTTCCATAAACTGCTAACAAATCAAATTCAAATCCACCTTGTCTTTCTCCAGTTTTTCTGCCAGGTGTTTGGACATTGAGAGAGTAGGGGTGAGAACTATTCCTAAGGATTTGTACTATTGAACTACTTCTATACTGTTGGTGCCCATGAACCATTTTTCTTTACGTGATGGCTTACCGCTATTGCGAAAGATCATTTCAGATTTTTCGAGGGTTATTCTCAGATTTCTTTACTGTATTCCTCTAGGGATTTATATTACTCTGCAATGTCGTTGGATGTGAAGATAGGAGAACAACATCACCCGCAAAACCTAGTACTTAATTTTACAATTTTTCTCAACATAAATACCGCCATCTAAATTCTCTTCCAAATCATTTATATATAACGAGGATAGAATCGTAGTAAGCAAACAACCTTGCCTTATACCTGATTCTATACTAAATAGTTTAGTCGAACCATGCAAACCCCAAACTGAAGCATTAGCATCGCTAAGCTAAATTGAATTAATTCATTTAGATGAAAATCCTAGCTGATATAATTTTTAAATTAGATTATAATGATCCACACTATCATCAAATTCTGTAGAAAAATCTACAAAAAATGCATAAACGTTTTCCCTTTTCTTTTGTAATTTTACTTTAATTAGATTCGTTAATGTGAATATAAATATCGATTGTTAAATATTTTTTTCTAAAACCAGCCTGAGCTT